TTTTTTAACCATGTTTTCTTCTAGTTCTTTACTGGCTTTTCCCTCCTACTTCTCTCCTTCCTCCTCCTATTTCTCTCCTCCTCCTCTTTCCCTTCTCCTCTTTCCTTTCTCCTCCTCTTTAGGTGGTTCATAAAGCTTGTTGGCAAGGTTAGATAAATTGTGTTTTCTAATCTGCCCGTGCTTTGTAAATTTGGTGTGCTTAGTCCATTCCAAGATCAGGACTGGGGTTTGCTCCTGCCTCAACAAGTGGGAATAAATTTGAAAATTAGCACTTATTAAGCCCTTGCTATGCATCAGGCACTATACCGGGGGTGTGCATACACAAATAAGAAAGATGGTTCCTGCCCTTGGTAAGCTTGTCCAGCGAAATGCCCCTATTTGAAATCTGATTTTCTATTTTTTCTTCAAATTTTAATTTTAATTTTAATTTCCCAAATAAAATGTTATGTTACTTTAAAAAAATTATTGATTTTTTTTTTATAGAGAAGAAGGGAGAGGGACAGAGAGTTAGACATATGGATGAGAGAGAATCATCGATCAGCTGCCTCCTGCACACCCCCCACCAGGGATGTGCCTGCAACCAAGGTACATGCCTAGGAATCGAACCTGGGACCCTTCAGTCCGCAAGCCGATGCTCTATTCACTGAGCCAAACCCATTTCGGCTGATGTTCCTTTTTTATCCTGGTTTGGGCCATATTCTAAAATGTTTCAGAAAACATCATCTGAGTTGCTGCTTGTTTTTTTTTTATGTAGTACCAGGGAGATAGGAACGAAGAACATGAAAAACTGATAAGAGGCCGAAACTGGTTTGGCTCAGTGGATAGAGCGTTGGCCTGTGGACTTAAGGTCCCAGGTTCGATTCCGGTCAAGGGCATGTGCCTTGGTTTTGGGCATGTCCCCAGTGGGGGGTGTGTGGGAGGCAGCTGATCGATGTTCCTCTCTCATTATGTTTCTAACTCTCTTCTTCTCTGTAAAAAAAATCAATAAAATACATTAAAAAAATAAAAATGTATAAAAACTGATAAGAGAAGGTGAGTCCATTAAGGAAGGTATTCCATCCTTTTTAAAGCAAACGTTTTAATGCTTCTACCCTACTGTAAACCTCATGAGTTTGCTAAGTATGTTTTAGCCTGTATCACATTGAAAAGTTTCAGAGCTCAGGTACCAGGCTTCTCACACTGTTAACCCTAAACCTTCAAAGGTCTGTTCTACAGTTTCACTTTCTGTTTTGGAACTTGCAGACCTGCTTTATTTTAGTGTGATGTCAGAGCTAATGGAATAGACAGTGACGCAAAAACAGAGGAGAGTCTGGTTGATGTTAGTGCTAATGTAAGGATAATTTGGGGGGTTTTGTTAAGTAGTATAATAAGTAGTGCTGAATAAAGGGTTGACATGACATTAGCTAAAGATAAAAACAAAGAGCAATGTATTGTTGATTGAAAATGGGATCATTCACCACTAAGGCAGTGTTAAGTCACCGAAGGCACATCTGGTGGTTGGGGTGAGGTGTGGTTGCAGTGAGTCATTGTGCCAGAAAGGCAGCATGAGTAAGCCAGCTGCTTCTATTATAGGCTGCTTGGCATCTTGGGGCTTGAAGCCATGGGACCGACTCCAGTCTAGTGTCTCCTTCTGGGAGCTTATTGACACTGAAGCTCTGGTACTGATGGAGAGAGCAGCTTGTGTTTTAAAGACCTAGGAAAGGAGTTCCCCACCTCCCAGGAGCTCTCCCACATTTGCCTGGTAGTTACTCCCCCTCTGTTGTATTCAAGTTAGTACTTTGCCCTTTCCACCTGATGCCTGCCCTGCAAAGAAACACCCCCTTCCTTAACAGAGGGAAACGCAGGAGCTCCACTGTTTGCACGGGAAGGAGGTCCATAGCTGGGGGCGGTGTGTGTGTGTGTGTGTGTGTGTGTGTGTGTGTGTGTGGTGGTGGTGGTGGTGGTGGTGGTAGGGAGGGAAGGGGGCATGTTTTGCCTGTAGCTGCCACCAAGATTGGCCCCAGGGCAGCTGAGAAAGGCTTGCCTGTTTAAGAAACTGACATTGAGGATTAGAGAATAACAGAATTTTGTGGCTCTATAAGGTTCTCTATAAGTTTTAATGGGCTTGGAATTGCATCATAGAAATCGGATTTGGGAGATCTGAGTGAAACTTAGTCTGTGGTTCTGATTGAGGTGGCTCTGGAACCCCACTTTGAGAAGCTCAGTTCTGGATACATAATCTATTTTAAGAGGCACAAATTGCCCTCCGACCTTGCATGCCTACACCATCTAATGCCAGAGAGAAGCAGCACTTATCCCTGGATTTCTCCTTTCCAGCTCTCAGCTGCTGGAACTGACACAGTAGATGTCCATTTCCCTGAAGAACACTGATGGCACAAAGGCCTGAGGACCCTTGAGTCTACCCACGATTTGCCCCTCAATTTCTGTGTCTTCTCTGAGGGGCTGCCCCTCCACTTGGGCTCTCACCATGTCAGTCAACAGTGAAACCACCCAGGACACCTTGCCCATCTAAATCATAACTTCTTGTTGGAGGCCTTTCTCCTCCATCAGACAGTGAGCCTAGAACTTAAAAAGTCCCCACAATCCATGGGCCAAATTACAAAACCATCTTCTGTTGGTATTTGGTTTACAAGAGTCAGACCTTGCCCAGGCACGTGTTTCTCCTGTGCACTTGCTTGTTGCAGACCTCCTTAAGTATCATGTCGCTACCTGGAAGTCCAAGCAGCTGGTTTAGAGTATTGTCTGGGATGGGTCTAATGCTTTTAAAATAGTGAACAATACTGAACCATTTTTAAGTGAGTTGCATTTCATGTTAACGCTTGAGTTCAGCCCTTAGCTCCATCATCAGTTATTATTCTACCAGATAGAACATTGCTAATAACATCCATCTGTGAACCACACTATGAATTTTAATGTTGATTTGAGGTTGCACTTTGGGTTGCTTGCCACTATTTATCAAAACTGCTGTTCATCTTCTCTCCCGGACAACAGCAAAAATCTGCAGCAAATCCCACTCTGGAGACTTGCTGGATGAGAGTCTTTTAACTGCAGGCTGGAGCTGAGTTAATTTGATCACCATTATGGTGATAACACAATTCCCATTACTCATCATGAAAGGTCACCTGTGCATGTTAACCCCTAGCCCAGGGGTCTTCAAACTACGGCCCGCGGGCCACATGCGGCCCGCAGAGGAGTCTGATCCGGCCCGCCAGGTTTTTTGGGCAGTGAGCACAGCCGAGGTGTTACAGTAGGAATTATTATAGTAGTTCATATAGTCCGGCCCTCCAGCTCTCTGAGGGACCGTGATCTGGCCCCCACTTTAAAAAGTTTGAGGACCCCTGCCGGGCCTAGCCTATATGTTCATTTGCCCTCTGACCTCATCTGTCAGCACCAGGGGAACTTTGAAGCAAAGTTGGCTTGGGCCCTCTCCCACGTATTAAATCTGAATCCCCGGGCTGGGCCTTTGCATACCGTGTTTCCCCGAAAATAAGACATCCTCCGAAAATAAGACCTAGCGCATGGAAAGATAAGACATCCCCTGAAAATAAGACCTAGCGCAACCTTGGGAGAAAAAATCAATATAAGACATTGTCTTATTTTCTGGGAAACAGGGTAAGTATCTTTTAAAGCTCCCAGGTGATTCTCATATGCAGCCAGGCCTGAGAAATTGCTCTAGCATAGGGGTGTCGAACTCAATCAGAGAAGGGGCCAAAATCTAAAATCCAGCCTAAATCGCGGGCCGAATGGTTTACTGAACAGTCATAAACTGTCATTGTGATGGAAACGCAGCGGAGTGCAGTGATGACAGCGCGGTGCGGGCCACATTGCAAGGCCTGGCGGGACGGATTTGGCCCGCGGGCCTTGTGTTTGACACATGTGCGTCTAGCATGAGGCTCCACACAAGATAAGATTCACCTTCTCTGCTTGCCCTACCAGGCACTCTATATTTTATTGATTTTCCAAGGGATAGAGAGCTAGAAATGTCGATGAGAGAAACATTGACTGGCTGTCTCCTGCACACCCCCCACTGGGGATGTGCCCGCAACCAAGGCACATGCCCTTGACTGGAATCGAACCTGGGACCATTCAGTCCGCAGACCGACGCTCTATCCACTGAGCCAAACCTGTTTTGGCCCTACCAGGCACTCTTAAGCCAGTCTTAAATGTTTATACCCAGAGCAAATACATTGGGAAAGGGAAATTGATAAGGAAAAGAGAAAGACAATACAAAGGGCTTAAAGATGCATGCCTCCCATTCTTTTAATCTTATCCGTAGTTCTTGGTGTAGGGCTGGGGGAGGCATGGAAGGCCTGGAATTCTGGGAATAGGCTCTCTAAGAGTTCAGAGGTTGCAATTCAGTGACTTCTGCCTGCATCTGACAATATATTTTGTTTGGCCTGCAGTGTGGTTGTACATGGAAATTTAAAAAAATTAGAATTCCAGTCTCTAAAAGTAAGGGTCCAAAAAAGTATTCTCTCAGTTGATTTTTGACAGGACTTGGCTCTTAAAAGTGGGGGTTCATTGATTCTCCTTCAGCAAGGTTACTCCATTCATGGGGATAATGACTCCTGGCTCCTTGGGACTACAGTAGCACAGAAATAGAATGGAGACAAGGTGGTCTTAAGAGCAGCCTGTGTGTGAAGGTGGAGACACCCGAAGTCAGGGTGTGAGAAGGTCAGCACTGACACCCAGTTTGGAGAGGTCTGGGAGGTCTGGCAGGACTGGGAGGGGAGAGCCGGGACTAAGGGTTTCAACCATCCAAATTGGCCAAAGATGGAATGGCTGGTCTTGGGAGGGAGAGAGGGCTCCGTCACTGGAGATGTCCATCGCACACCAGGCAGCCACTTGAGGGAGCACATGGCAGACAAGGCCCTCCCACCACATGATGGGGAGGAAGTAGGAAGCCTCTTTCACCCCCATCCTCTCCTTTAAAGAACAGAGTGCATTAGCTAGCGCTTTTTGCCCACAGAAAGGGAAGTTGGCACCTTGGTTGTCTTTAGACACTACCTTTTATTTTTAAAAAATAGTTACGACAGTAAAGGTCGTACTATGTGGCGGGGACAGATGCCTTGGATGTATCCCCCTTTCGTTTCTACCTCAAAACAAGGCTAAGGCATAAATTACTCGGCTTGGGCACCAGGTGTGCCTCTGGTCCTCGCGGCGCCGGCATGGGTGGTACCACATGTCCTGTGGGCGGCGGGTCAGATATTTCCACCGCGGGGTCCCTGGACCGGCCTCATTCAGTGCATTCCAGAGAGAACCCCTTTCTGTGCACAGTAGGTGGAAGGGAGGGCTGGAAGGCTGTGTGTGCGAAGGGACGGGGGATACAGGGAGGGGAGGCTCCCACCCTTTCCCTGTGCCCGGCTTGCCCCAGGAAGACGCTGTGGGAGCGCGGAGCTATAGGGGGTTACAGGGGACTGTGTCACCCACATGCTCTGGATGTACCTTCTGGGAACAAAAGCGGCGGGGAAGCGGGGGGGCATGGGATGAGGGTCACAAGCACCGTGGGGGAGTGTGTGGCGGTCTGTGAACGTATGGGGGTGCTCCCCATCTCTGTGTGGGTGCCTGGTTTCTGGGTTCCAGCTGCCTGTCCGTCACAGTCTCCGTGTCCCAGAGTCTTCACCCCTGGCCCTCCTCTGTCATCATTGAGCCCCTGCTGTTCAGGGGAAGCTCGGGGACCCATCTCCTGCCTGGGGAAGGGGTAGGCGTGACTCAGGAGCTGTTGGCAGCATGGGGGTGGAGGATAGTACAAAGTTCAGATCTGCTGTCCCACTGGGCCCTATAGGAAGTAGTGGTCTGGAGTGCACAGAGTGGGTCTGCATTTGCAGTCTTCCTCTCTGGGTTTCTGAGGAGGAGGTTTAGGAATCCCTAGCACCTTACTGGTGAGGGTAGCCAACCCCCCAGAGCCTGGGGGAGGCCCCTTTCTGTTCTAGGGATCTCTGTTGGAGGTGTCTCGGTCTCCCAGCAGGGCAGTCCCTCTTAAAACCGGCTTGAGTTCCCTTCAGAGGGCGCAGGCTTGGTTTCTCAGATGAGGTCAAGTGCAGAGCGAGCTGGCATCCTCTGCCCCAGCTCCACGGGGCCACCGGCCTGGGCCTGCACACCGCCTGGCCCTGGCCCATCCACTCGCAGCCTCCTCGGGAGCCTCACTCCAGCGCTTTGGGCGTGGGGTCCAAGCTGGGCTCCCTCCTGCGCCTGGCGCTTTTAAAGAAGCCGAGCTGTGGGGAGGCAAAGGCAGAAGTCTCAGTGGGCAGGGTGGACAAGGCCTAACTTCCCTCCCTTGCTGTCCCTCCACTCACCCCCAGGCATCTTCCCTCAGAAGGCTTCCAGATGCCCCAGCTCAGGACCATGAGCACCTCTGTCCCTCCCCAGCTCTCTTTGGGCCACTTAATTGGTGAGGGGCCACTGGAGCAGAGTGAGCAGAGCCTGAGTCTGGAGGCAAGAAGCCTTGCTGTGTGACCCCGCCCCAGGTAACACTCTTCTCTGGACCTCCTTCACCTTTTCTGTGACAGAGGAGGTTGAGAGCAGGGCTTCTGAACCTGAGGCTCAGTGACAGCGAAGGGCTTTGAGTGTTTAACAGCCTGCCTTTGTTGGAGACATTGTGTGGTGGGTGTACATGCTGTTTTTCTGATGAGAGGAACCTTAACTCTCATCAGGTTCTCCAAGGGGCCTACAAAAGGGTGGGAGCCACAGTTTGAGCGCCCTCTGGTGGCCAATCAGCCTGCGGTGATGAGGGGTGGTGCAGTGGCAGCAGGCAAGTTCTGGGAAGGAGGCCAGGCAGATGCCAGCTGGCATGGGGAGTAGACCATGGGGACTGGCCACAGGGGCAGAGGTTGGAATCCCAGGCAGGGGCCAGCCAACCAGGATGCTGCTCCCCACCGCCACCCTGTGGGGGCCCTCACCTTCCACAGGGCCAGGACCAGCAGGGCCAGCAGCAGGAGGCCCCCCAGGGTGCTGCCCACGATGATCCAGATGGGGATCTGCCAGTCTTCTTGCTTGGAGATCTCAAACGTGATCTGCAAGGGGAGGAGGGACAGGGGAATAGATTAGTGTCCTGGGGCCTGGGTGGCACCTGGGCTGGAGCACAGGAGACCGCTGGCCCCTGGCGGGAGAGCTGCATCCGCTTCCTTAGGGAAAGCTGCTGGGGGTGGAGGGGATGGCATTCAGCCTGCAGAGGCCTCAGAGCCCCTAGCCCCTGCACAGTGGACACCCGAGTTAAGTGGCCCAGGTGGTCCAGATCCTCTTTGAGACATTTTCTGCCCTTTGCTGCCTCCTCAGTCATCTCCCAAACCTCTAAATGTTGGCATGTCCCATGGTTCTGCCCTTGGACATCTTTATCTACATTCACTCACTCGCTGGTGAGCTCAGGGCTGACTTACAGAGTGGGCACAGTGGGCATGCTGCCCAGAGGCCCACAAACACAATCTTACTTATTTAAAATGTTTTTATTAATTTAAGAGAGATGGATAGAAAGAAACATGGATGAGAAAAACATTGATTGGCTGCCTCCTGCACATCTACTGGGGATCGAGCCTCCCACCTGGGCATGTGCCCTGACCAGGAATTCAACCAGTGACCTCTTGGTTCATGGGTTGATGCTCAACCACTGAGCCACACTGGCCAGGCCTAACTTCTTTTAAAATTGGAGGATATCAATGAATATCATTTTGCCTGGATTATATTTGTCTTTATATGTACACAGTCATAAAGTGGTAATTAATTTTTTTTCAGTAGAGGAAGGAGCCCTGAAGGCAAAGTGTCCAGGGCCATGGAAGTCCTAATGGAGCCCTCGGCGAAGTCAGAGCTCTGACCACTCATGTTTCTACGTCTACCCCAGACTCCAGAGTCATCTCCGACCGTCTCCATGGCCTGCCTGGCACCTCTCACAGGTCCCAAACCAAACTCTTGATCCCACTCCTCACCTCAGTCCTGTGCTTTCAATGTGTTTCCTGTCAAAGCAAATGTCAGCAGCATCGTCCTTCCTTGCTGTTGTTCAAGCCCGAAACCTTGTATTTGTCTCACATCCACATGGACTCCATCAGCAAAGTCTGACTGTTTTACCTTTGAAACACCCAGAATGTGGCCACTCCTCTCACTTCCAGGGCTACCTCCTTGGTCTGAGCATCCTCATCTCCCATCTGCTTCCGCCTCGCCTCCTACAGTCTGTTCTTTTTGTTTGTTTTTGTTAATCCTCACCGAGGATATTTTCCCATTGATTTTTAGAGAGAGAGGAAGGGAAGGGGAAACACACACACACACACACACACACACACACACACACACACACACACACACACACACACAGACATCCATGTGAGAGAGACACAGGTATTGGGTGCCTTCCACACACCCCCTGACCAGGGCCAGGAATCGAGCCTGCACCCTAGATTCGTGCCCTTGACTGGAATTGAACCCGGGACCCTTCAGTCCACAGGCTGATGCTCTAGCCACTGAGCCAAACCTGCTAAGGCCTACAGTCTGTTCTTGGCATAGCCTCCAGAGAAAGGCAGTTCTCTGCTCTGCTCAGGGCCTCCAAGTCTCCCTCCCGGCTCACCAGAGTAGAAAAAGAATCCTTGTCCTGGCCTGCAAGGGCCTACTTACACTTTCTGGCGTGCCTCCCTCCCTGACCTCACCTCCCACTGTCCCTCTCGTTCTCCCCTCCAGCCACCTGGCCTCCGACATGCCCAGCACCTGCTGCTGGGCCTTTGCATTCTGTTCCTTCTGCTGGCCGCTCAGAGTCTCTGCTCGATGTCACTTTATTGGGGAGGCTTTCCCTAATCTCCTGTGTAAAACAGTGCCCTGAATCTCCACCCTTTCCTGCAGGTGGGTTTTAGGCTCCCCTCCCCCCAACTTCATCATCACTTGATGCTTTTGAGCAGGTTTACAGTTGTTCATATGGAAAAATATATAATAATTAGTGAATAATATAAGAATAAACTGTTTTGCATACTGACAACTGTAAACCTACTTTTGCCCCCCCCGTATTTATGTTAATTGCCTTTCTTCCCACTGAAGGTCAGCTCCAGGAGAGCGGGCTTTTCTTGATTTGTTCACTGCTCTGTCCTCCGAGCAGGGCCTGGGCCTGGGACCGAGCCGGGGCTCAGTGAATGTGTTGAGTGACTGACCGACGGCACCCTGCACAGCATGGCCACTGAGTAACTTTTTAATCTGAGGCAAGTCCCTGCTTCCCTGCCCCTTATCTCACAGCATCAGTTTCCACGCCTGGAAAGGGAGGCTGTGGGGACATCCATCAAAGATAACGTGAAGAAGTGGTCACAATAGCTGGCTCATAGTTAGGGCTCAACAAACCATAGGTCCCTTATCTGTCCTTTCCATCCCTGCAGGCTGGGCCTTGCTCTGCCTTCCCACCCCGGCCCCTGGCACAGAGCTGAGCCAACACGGGCTTATGTCATTGCTGGATTTCAGAAAGAGCAGTGAGGCATCCAGGAAGCATAAGAAGGGTTTGCGAGTTGGGGGCTGGGAAGGAGAAGGAGAAGGAGAATTCATTTGAGAGACTTGAACTAGTGTGGGGAGGGGTGTGTGTGTGTGGCCTATATCATGCCTCTTCTCTCTCCGTCATCTGGAAAGTTCTAACACATCACAGGATTCAGTTCAAGTGGCTGTCTCCAGAAAGCTCTCCCTGGCCTGACCACCTCCCACCCCCAGCACCTGTGCTCACGCCCAGATCGAGTCCACACTTTGCTGTCCTTGTTCCTTTGCACCCCCTAGTGGGTCTGAGTCATACAGGGGGCAGCCAGTAAACGCTGAATAAATGAACGGACAAATCAAACCACTCGAGGTGGGGCCCTGCGTGCTGCCTCTGGCTTCTGCACCTGCCAGCCCTTCGCCTGGCACACCCACCCTGCTTATGACGGGTATCCATGTGTTTCCTTAAGGGCTGGCTTCTAGCCCATGCCTGCTTTGCTCTCCAGCGTCTGCTGGGGAGGGGCTGGGGGCGTTTACAGCATCTGGTATTGAAAGCTCACCTGGAGCCCAGGCTGGCAGTTTGGGGACATGGTCAGTGGAGGGCAGCAGTGCGCCACGCCTAAAGTGCCTCTGTCCAGAGGACTGAACTCTTCCAGACACAACTTCTCCTTTTCCCAGCTGAGCACTGCACAGAGCCCCTCTCTCCCCTTTCCCAAACTTCAAACTATTTTGATTTGCTTTTACCCAATACAACAAGTGTCAATACCAAGACATCTCACACCCAGTGGCCTTCACCAATTCAGACTTGTAAAGCAGTCACACGGTTTCATTAGATAAGAGGTGCGAATGGATGGGGGCAGGCACAGGTGTGGGGCGGTCATTCTAGGCTGCCAGCCTGCCCAGGGCAGCCTCCTGCTGGGCCAGGAGCCGCCGGGCAGGCTGCCCTGGACTCCAGCATCAGGTTCCTGTAGTGTCAAATGCACAGGTTCCTCTCTCCTCTGCCCCAGGGGGCAGTTGTGGTGCAGAGCCTGGGGCCCCGGGCCTGGGGGAATGCCTGCTTCTGGCCCCCTGTCCACTCCCTCCCCCGCCCCCCCACAAGGCCTATTTGTCTTGCTTTTCTCTCTCCACTGATGCTGCACTAACTGCTGGCATGTCTGCCCATCTCTCTCTCTCTCTCTCTCTCTCTCTCTCTCTCTCTCTCTCTCTCTCTCTCAGGAACACACGGCAGAGGGGTAGGAAAACTGCAGGGGGCGGGGTAACCCTTACCAAGCTGGCCTGGCTCAGGCCCAGGTCCGCAGGGTCCCCAAGGGCTCACCTGGCGGCTGGGGTCCTCCTCTCGGAAGATGAAGGGGCTGTGGAACTGCCTCTGCAAGGCTGCGTTGACCGTGATTTTCATCAGCTTGTACTTGAGCTGGACAATCGAAGGCCTTGTCAGAAGCGGGCCCCTCGGCGCGCGGCAGGAGGCTCCCCAGCACCCTCCTCCTCCCCTCTCCCCGGCCAGCCTCACCCAGGCCTCTACTTACTGCCTTTAGGGAGCGCAGCCACAGGTTCCCCAGCAGGTGGAAGTGGGTTTCCTGGTTGGGGGCCAGCCTCACGTGGCAGTTGATGGAGACGACGTCTGAGTTGCTGTGATTCTGAAAGAGGCGGGTCTCAGTGGTGAGCAACCAGGCTGGGGGAGGGGGGAGGGGGAGGGGAGGCAGAAACCAGGCTGTGACCTGAGAGAGTGAGCAGAGGCTGGGCCACCAGAGAGATGGCTCAGCGGCACTGTTAGGCCAAGTAGGGTTTTCTCTGGGGAGAGGGGCCGAGGACAGGATGGGGGGGGCGGGAGGGGACGCATGGTCTGGGGCTGCCAGAGGACGGCTGGAGGACAGGGTAAGGATGGTATATCTGATGCTGCATTTGAGGTTGTGCATATTGGATATATCCCAGGAACAAAATTTTGGTTCAATGTTAGGGAAACCTATACATGTCATCACCATATAAACAGCTTAAAGGGAAAAAATGAGATGATTACTATATCAGATGCAGAGGAAGCATTTTAGGGACTTCAACCTTAGTTTATGATAAAAGCTCCTGGGGAACTCCCTGAATCGGAATTAAAGGGTATTTATAAAACACAAGTATCATATTTAATAATGAAAAATGAAGAACAATCCCTTTAAAATCAGGATCAAGACAAGACTGTCACCATTTCTGTTTATCATTACCCTGGAGGTCCTAGTCAGAGCAATAACACAAGAAAAACAATTTGTAAGGCGTGAATGGTAAAGCTAAAGCTATGATCGTCAGCAGATGATATCATCTTGATAGAAAACCCAAACAAATCATCAAAAAGTTACAACGTATCAGGTTAAAGTTACTTGTTTCACTCTTTTGCATCCACTTCAACCCTACCCAGCCCCAAGTCTTCCGTAAAATGCACTCGATTCAAAAATTGCTTTGTGCGAAGCACTTGTTTGGGAAATCAAATTAAAACACCTAGGATTTCTGTCTGGGTAAGGAATACTGAAAGCACGCGCAGAAATAGGTGTCTGGGGACAGGCGGCAGAGAGGATCTAAACCTGGAAACGAGCAGGTGTCTTAGCGAGGGCTTCGGGAGTTGAAGCTGAGCTGCCTTTATTTCTGGGGAGGGAGGCTCCAGCTGATGTCAGTGTCTCCAATACAAGTCACGTATGTTCCGGCCCCTATGGCAATGCTCCATCTGGCCTCCCCCTTCTTTCTGCCTACCTGTATCCGATGGCTCTTTTAGGCTCAAATGCAAGTCCACTAGCTCTGTTTTTTTTTTTTTTTTTTAATATATATAATTTTTTAATATATATATTTTATTGATTTTTCACAGAGAGGAAGAGAGAGGGATAGAGAGTTAGAAACATCGATGAGAGAGAATCATCCACCAGCCGCCTCTTGCACACCCCCCACTGGGGATGTGCCCGCAACCAAGGTACATGCCCTTTACCAGAATCGAACCCGGGACCTTTCAGTCCGCAGGCCGATGCTCTATCCACTGAGCCAAACCAGTCCCGGCAAGCTCTGTTCTTTTTAAAAAATTATTATTACCTTTTGATCCCCTTCATCCATTTTCACCCCCTGCTTCTGACTACCACCAATCTGTACTCTATCTATAAGCTTGATTTTTTTTTTTTAAAAAGATTCCACATATAAGTAAGATCATACAGTATTTGTCTTTGTCTAACTTATTTCACTTAGCAGAATGCCCTCAAGATCCAAACACATTATCCCAAATGGCAAAGTTTTTCCCTTTCTTATGCTGAGTAATATTCTATTGCATATATCTATGTCCATGTCTATATAATATATCTATCATCTCTAGCTCTAGCTCTAGCTCTCTATATCTCATAATGTCTTTATCCACCGATGGACACCTGGGTTATTTCCATATCTTGGCTGCTATCTGCAGTGAACATGGGGGTGCAGATATCTTTTCAGGCTCGTGTTTCCCTTTTCTCTCACTGTTCTTTTACTCCAGTTTGCATCTGTGGTCATTCTCTTGAGATGCATCACAGGCCTGCTCCCTGGCTTCGAGGCGCTCATTCTGTGTCTCCTGAGAGATGGTGAGCTCACTGAGGGCCAGCGGTACCTTTTCCTGCTTGTTTCCTCTTGGTGTGAGGCTGGGCACCTGGGAGCTCAGAGAACTCTTACAAACTATGGGCCCAGGAGAGAGAGAGCCCCAAGCCCAGGCAGCCCTCTCTCCCCCCAGCCCCACGGCTCTGGGTTTGGGGGACACTCACCAGCTGCGGGGTGCGACTCAGGTCTTCCTCCGTCGGGGAATGCCGGTACTCGGTGCTGTTTCCCCAGACGTTACAGGACGTGTTCACCTGCAGGAGGGAGACACACGGCCACGTCACAATCAGCGCCGCCAAACTCAGCATCCAGGCGTTCTTCCTCCTCCTCTGCCAGAGAAGGCCCGGCGGGGTGTGGTTTGGGGAGAAGGAGCTGGGGTCTGAGGGGCCTGGGACACACCTCAGGGCATGCCTGTCTCCGTCCGTCCCCTCCCCCAGCGGCCCGCGAGGCGGTGGTACCTGGTCGGTGAGGAAGTCCCTCAGCATCAGCAGCCGGCTGCCGCTCCTGGTGGCGACGGGCACGGTGATCTTCACCATCACCCCGTGGACGGGGAACAAGCCCAGGTTCTGGATCTGTGGCCCGAGAGGGAGAGGTGTCGGTGCTCCAGCAGCAGCTGGGGGAGGGGAGGTGGAGAGCGAGGTCTCCAGCCTGGGCCCCTTCAAGCCCCCTGGCATTTTTTTTCCTTTTAATATATTTTATTGATTTTGTACAGAGAGGAAGAGAGAGGGATAGCGAGTTAGACACATCGATGAGAGAGAATCATCGACCAGCTGCCTCCTGCACACCCCCCACTGGGGATGTGCCCACAACCAAGGTACATGCCCTTGACCGGAATCGAACCCAGGACCCTTCAGTCCGCAGGCCGACGCTCTATCCACTGAGCCTAATTGGTTTCGGCCGGCCCCTGGCATTTTCACTGTGGGAGCTTTGAGGCTCTGCCACGTCAGGGACCTGAGAGGGGCGGGCCCTGCAGTGGGGGCGGCAATGAGACCGGAGAGCCAGGGTCACGTCTATTTTCAACTCCTCCTGGCTCGGGGGGATTTTGTTGCCTGGCACTGGTGGCCCCCTGGGGCTGGAGATGGTGACAGCAATTACTTTTTCATGAGAGCTCACTCATTAGTGAAGAGTGTAAACCGGGAGTGTGTGATAGTGCACCTTCTAGCCGTGACACACCGGGTGTCAGAGCCGGTGGTGACAGGAAGGCTTTGGAATCAGAAAGCCTGCGACTGGAACCCAGGGCTGCGGTCACGTACGGGTTGTGTGGCCGTGGGCAGGTTTCTAACCCTCTTGGAGGAGCCATGCAGGTCTCGGCGAGCCTGATGTGCAGTGTCCAGGGTCAGCCTGCCCCTGACTCTCACACAGCGTTCAGAGGCGGGGGGCACTGCAGGCCCACCGTGGCAGCATTGCTAAGCTGCCTCCCAATTCTCCTTTTCTCACCGTCCTTCGTGACAGAAACCATGACAAAACGCTTCTTACAGCTAAAGCACAGCGTTCTGGACAATGAGAGGGACCGGGAGGTGTGAGGGACTGCCACGGAGTTCATTCCTGCTCCTTGTCCCTCCCTTCTTCCTGGGGCCTGTGGAATCGGGACGTGATGGCCGGAGCCGCAGCCTCCTTGGACTGCGAGGTGAATCGAGGCTGATGATTGCATGCTGGGGAGGGTGGGACGTGAGGAGAGAGGAGATGCAACCCTGGATGACTCTGAAGCTGCCAACTCTGGACTCTTGTATGGGAGAGAATAAACTCTGGGGCCTTTAGACCACTTTTAAAAAATTAAAATAATTATGTGCAGCCACACCTAATTTTCACCGACACGCTCTCTGAGACCAGCCCTGTTATTTTCCAGGGGAGGACTGAGAGGCCAGAGAGCGGAGGTGACTTGTCTAAAGTCATCCAGTGAGAGGGTAGCAGGCTTAAGGTGACCCTGAGCTCCAGCAATGATTTCTTTCTTTTTTAAAAAATTGGTTTCAGAAAGCAAGGGAGAGGGAGACAGAGAGATAGAAACATCAATGAAGAGAGAGAATCATTGATCGGCTGCCTCCTGCGCACCCCACACCGGGGATCAAGCCCGCAACCTGGGTATATGCCCTTTACAGAAATCGAACCCTGACCTGGTTCATAGGTCGACCGACACTCAACCACTTAGCCACCCAGGCCTGGCGTTAGCAATGACTTCCTATTCCTCCCCTCCCATGTGGGGGACCCGTGGCTCCTGCCCTTCCCTCTCTTCCTGGCTCCCCTCCAGCCTTACCTTGAACGTGAGGTGGAAGGGAGGCCCAAGGCCATTGTAACTCTCCAGGGAGCTGTTGGGTTTGACTTCGTAGTGGCTCAGGCTGCTGCTCCTGCAGGGACAGAGGACAGGCTGCTGTGACGCAGTCAGCATTGGCCAGGCGGGTAAGTGAATGATAAAGGGTGTGGGCATGGGCCCGTCTCCCCGTAGGCCACAAACAATAGGTTTCCTTCGTGCCCATCGGGAGCACTGTGTTGGGAAGGTTTCTGAGCAGTCAGATGGAGGCGTCTGGACAGAACAGCAAACACACAGCAAGCTCAGGGCCTCTCACGGCCTCCACCAGAGGCTGGAAGGGTGCACAGTGGGCAAGTTCACGCTCAGAAGAGGCCATGCTGACATCCAGCAGCAACTTCTGCCTGGTGTGTGGGACGGGCACGAGCTGGAAGTGCCAGCTATTGGCCGCCCCTGCCCTAGACTCTCAGCCCAGGCATGGCCTCTTCTGAGCGTGAACTTGCCTACTGGTGGAGGCCGGGGCGGTGGGGGGCCTGCACTTGCTGTGTGTTTGCTGTGCTGTCCAGACGCCCCCACCTGTCTGGGAGCTCCCAGAGGAGAGGCTGGGCCGGGGCACACCCAGGGAGCGGCAGTGTGAGCAGCCGCACAGGGAGGAGCCTTTTCTCATGGACGGGGTTTAGAATTGCTGGGGCAAGGTGGTACTGAGAAGCAGAAGGACTTGGTAGGTTTTATTATTATTTAAAAATTCTCCACAGTTCATGCCCTCCTCTGTTGCCTACATCTGGGTGGATACCGCCTGCTGTCCCGCCCTTCGCATTTGACCTGCTGAGAGCTCCATGGGCGCCAGGTCTGTGTCTCCTCCTTCCTCTGATTTTTAAATTTTATTATTATTTAACATAATTTTATTGATTTCAGAGAGGAATGATATGAGAGAATCATTGATTGGCTGCCTCCTGCATGCCCCCTACTGGGGATTAAGCCTACAACTGGGACATGTGCCCTGACTGGAAATCCAACCATGACCTCCTGGTTCATAGGTTGACACTCAATCACTGAGTCACACAGCCCCGGCCTCCTTCCTCTGTTTTGATTCCATCTCCCAGCCATGGATGAGGGAGCTCTCTCTGACCCCTCAGGGGCCCTATTGGATCCATCTCATAGTCCCTCAACACTGGGGCCCAGCTTCTAGGGCCATTGACCCTATTAGTCCCCCCCCACTCCCCCCTGTTTCCCCCGAGAGTACCCCATCTTAGGCTCACTCCTCCCATGCCTCCCCTCCTGGGCCCGCCCACCTGGTGAAGAGGATGTCGGCCTCATATTTGAGGTGGAAGCGCAGGAGGGCCTTGTTGTCTTCCTTGGTGCTCTCCTCCTCGTCACTGTCACTGCAAGGAGAGCCAGGCGCGGGGTCAGGACGGAGCCTGCCCTCCCTCTACCCAGCTGCTGCGGGAGGGGTCTAAGTCACCCTGGGAAAGAGCATTCTGGTATGAGGACACTGTGCAGTGCACTGGTCTCCCGCCAGCAGGCAGGGCCTGAGGGGGCCTGAGGGGATCCAGACATTTCACAGACTGTCTCGGGTCACGTGAGAATTCCACCCACAACCACTGACGTGCTGGCGGTTGATCCCTAGTGCTCCCTCCCGAGACCTCTGACTTGGGTGTGACCGAGAGTACGTATGTGTGTGAGTGAGTGTATGTGTGTGCATGTGTTGGAAGGCTGGTGTGTGGTTTGCCTTCAGTGTTTTATTTCTCAGTGAGGAACAATTCTCAGGAGGGTTTGGGCCATTTACAAGGCTTCAGAGTTATCAGATCCCTTCCTGCCGCCGTTCCCACACAGAGAATGTAATTCTGTGAAAAAGAAAAGAGTGCTTACGACCCACACAGGGGTTTCACCCTGTGAACCCACAGCAAATTCCCTGCGAGGAAGACACTCAGACAGACCTACACAGCGTAAGGGACACTCTTTTAAAATGGACACATTTCAAAGAGGAGAGAGGTGAGCAGGACAGAAAGAGTAGGACACGAATTTTCATCTAGCAGTTGTGCTGTGTGTTGTTGGGAAATTCACTCAACCTCTCTGAGCCTCCCCTTTCTTACCTGTAACTTGAGGTCGGGTGGGGAATAACCCCTGCTTTACCTACCTTAGGGGCTGCAGTGAGGACTGACAGCTATTGTATTCACAGTGCTTTATAACTGGTTTTAAAACAGCAGCTATATAGAAATACTACATGAAGAAAAAGGTATTCTTTATCTTCCAAGACCGAAGGTGGCTGCAGCAGGCAGCGGGTGGCCCTCATTTGGGGACTGACCAGGACCCCACCCCCTTGGGGCAGTTAGGGACAGGGCTTGGTGGGAGACTCAGTGTGGGGAGGGGTGAAGCAGGGTGCAGGAGGGAGGGAGCAGCCGGGCCCTGACCTGCCGGCTGCGAGCTGGACCTCCAGGTGGTGCAGGAAGACGGATTTGCTGAACTCGAAATCTAGACGGAAAGCCACCTGCAAAGAAGAAGTCACTGGAGCTGGGGTTGCTGGGAACTGTGAGTCTGGGCATTGCCTGACCCGCCCTCCCAGCCCCCTGCGCCCGTGGGTGAGCCCTGCTGGCTGGGAGCAGCCAGTGCTGAGTAACGGCCTGAGGCTGGTGAGGGGGACACAGCCAGACAACGGCTCCTCTGGGGGATTTCCTGACTGGGACAGCCCCCTGCCCTCCTCCGTTTTTTGTTTTGTTTGTTTTTGATTTTGTTTTTAGCTTCAGGCAATGAGAAGGCAGCAAGCCCAACTTCGGACTCTCTGCAGGATTTTCATGGGGAGGGCTTGCTGGTGGGAAGGGGAGCTGGCTGTCACCACACAGCACAGCCCGTGGGGGCCAGACACGGCGGTGGGACAGGCCTCCCACCCCTCCTTCTTGCGCGTGGTGGGTGGAGACCTGAAGAAGCGTGATGGCTGCCCAGGGCCACCCAGAGGTTAATAGGCACCTGCCTCCTTGTCCAGCAGCCCTCTGGCCCCTCTGATGGCCTGGTCTTGCCGCTTCCCAGGAATGCACCCCCTGCTGGGCACTTTGGAGCGGGCCTGGGTCCCTGACTATGGATGGCCCTGTGACACCTGACCCTCCGGGCTGCCTTCCCCACTATGGGGGCGGGGCGGGTGCCGGGGCTTTGCACAGACCGCTGTGCTCTTCCCAAGTCTGACCCTCCTGGAGTTTCCCCTGGAGATCTGAGGTCCCCTTCTCCCAGGGAGTGGCAGGGGTGGGGAGCTTGTGCTGCCCCCTGGGACTTCAATCTAGAGCTCCTGGTTTGTCAGAGTCGCACCCCGAAACCACCATCTTGACTTGCAGTTCCTTCCACTGGGAGGTTCCTTTAGAAGGAGCCCTGGTTCCCCACCTTGCAGCCCTGCGCCTGGGAACACACTGCTGCTCTCCGGCTGGCTCCTGCCCTGAGCGCCCCTCCATCGGGTCCAGCAGCTTAGCTCAGGCCTTCTCCGGCTCCAGAGCCCTCAGGGGCTGCCCCCTGCCCAGGGGTGATGGGCAAACACCCCCACAATCTGTAGTTCTCCCCTTCCCCTTGAATTTGCTTCTCCACGTCACACACCTACACTCTTGTCACATGCATTCTGAAGGGCGTGGTCGGTGCTTGAGAAATATTAATTTTCTCCCCATGCACAGCACTGAGGCAGCTGGCTGGATATAAAGGATTGAAAGGGCAGTGGGACAATGGCTGAGGGAGGTGGGGTGGCGGGGAGGGGCGGGGCGCTCTCCAGGGCGGTGGCCTCCTGCCCTGGGGATGCCTGGCTGGTTGGATTATTGGGATGTCATTGCATGGGAGAACCACCCTCAGGCCTCTCCATCCCTCCCCAGCCCTCCTTGCTGCTCATCTCCATTTCTCTTGCCTCCCTGTAGCCCTGTTGCCTCCCCAAACTGCCCCCAGCCTTCACCTTGGCCTTGGCCCGGAAGAAGGGGTAGCTGACATTGCAGACTTTCTTGTGGAGTCTCCTCTCCTCGTTCACACACTCGATGCTGCCGTCGGAGTCCTCCTGTGGGGAAGAGGGGGGGGAGAGGAGGTTTGGGGGGAGAGGAGAGGGCGCAGCGGTTAGATGGGGCCTGAGACCCAGGTCACCGAGCTCTGGGGGCACCTTTACCTCCCATTGCCCACTCTGAGCAGCGGCAGGCCCTCTGACGCTGGGACCACAGGGGCTGGGGGCTCAGGTGTGGCAGGGACGGGGACACTCAGTGGTGCTGGGTTGTGGATAGAGGGGCTCAGAGCTCCTTCGCACACCTTGTCATTCCCTCCATACCAGCCAGGGACCCAGGACTTATCCTGCCTGCAGCTGGGGACATGGAGGCCCTGGGATGGGAAGTCACGGGCTCAGGCCACCGGAAGTGGCCCGAGTGGGGATTCGAAGGCTCCCCAGTCTGGCTGTCCTGCCTCCCTCTGCAGCCCTTTGCAGCCCTTTAATTGGCCGCAATCAGAAGGATTGCAAAGGCTCTCTGGGAGCCAAGAGGAGGCTTTTGGGGTCTCGCATGACATTGTGATCCAGAATATCAGTGGGTGGGATACGGGCTGACTCCTGGTGGGAACTGTGGGGATTTTTCTGAGTCTATTCCGCCTCCCTCAGGGCTGGCTGCTCCCTTGTCATGAGGCCCCCCATGCCCAAACCCCTGCTGCCAGCAGACTTGCAGGCAATGCTTCTTTCTCTTTCCTTTTCCTGCAGCTAAACTTCTCCAAACCCTCCCACCGCTGTCTGGGTCAGCAGCAGGTCACTCACTGGCTGCTGGACTGGCAGAGTTTAGGGGGGCATGTCACTGGGCTCCCCAGCCTGCCTGGGGCCCCGCTGGGCTAGCTGAGCCCTCAGCACAGGTCCAGGGAGAAGGGACTCACACACCATATGTGGCTACATGCTGCTGGCGGGGCACTCATTTTGCTCCTCTGTTACGTGGGGACGATAGCACCTACCACATTTAGCTGTTTTGAGGATTAAATGACACAATGCATGCAAGTGCAGGGCCTAATTCAGTGCCCAGACTCTTGTAGTCATTCCATGTATGGCAGCTGTCATGAGGGGTATTTATCCCCATTGTGGTACTGCACAACTGGGCACAGCCTGGACACATACACGTGTGGATGTGGAGATACTCCTGTGTGGGCTGGGTGTGTCGGTCTGCACGTGAGTACATGAATGTGCATGTGTCCATTGCATGCACATGTAGTATTTGTATTTGTTTGGATGTTTATGTCGGTTTGTATGTTTTTGCATTTTGTGTACGATGTGTGTGTGGTAGACAAACACATCTGCATTTGGCTTAGGGGGTGCTCTCCTTGGCCAGACGGTGGGGTTTGGGGTGGGAAGACAGAGGGGAGGCTGGTCTCCAAGCTGTGAGCATCTTCTGGCTGGGCAGGCGGCAGCATCTGTGGGGGAGCCAGGCTGCAGGCCAGCCCCACACGCCACCGCGTGAGTGTGGACACAGCCCTTGACAGAACACATTTCCTAGGTCTCTTCCTTCCTCACTGCCAAGCCCCTCTGTGCCACAGAAACAAAATCCCACGATTCCTTCCCCCCACGGCTGTGAATAGACACAGGCTTATAAAGTCTGGGCCAGGGAAGCGGAAAACGGTGGCTGCAGGTTTGGGGCTCAATTTCCCCTAAAGAGACAGCTACAAAGCCTCTGGGCAGAGGAGGCTGGGGAGACCGTCAGACGGCCCTCATCTCAGGGCTGTGAGGAGGCTGGCGGTAGGCCTGGCCTGAGAGGGCCTGAGTCTGGGGCGGTGCGGGCAGCGGCTCTGCGTGGGGTGAGGACAGAAAGGCACTGGCACCTGGTCCTCCACTCCGGGCTCCACGTGGACACTCTGAGATCAGTGAGAACAGAGACTGTATCTTCGGGGACCTGGGGCACCCCGGCACCACTGTGACAACGATGTCTTAGTTTAACTCAACAGACAGGTCTGGAGGATCTTCTGTGTGTCTAGCCCTGGCCCAGCCCTGGGGACACATGTGGCTAAGTCAGGGCACTTGCACCCAGAGTTCAGGGCTAGCACAGGGCAGCATCCGACACTGTGATTTTCCTGGAGCACATGCAGCTGTGCCCAGAGCTATGCGGGGCCTAGGTGGCCATGGGAAGGAAGCCCAGAGAGCGTGACACGAGGACACGTCTGGTCCTGAAGAGCAGCTCAGGAGCCACTACTAGCTGGGTGTCCTGTTCAGACCATTCAACCCTTCTCTATGCCTCTGTTGCCTCCTCTGTAAAATGGGGATACTACCACCACCATCATCACCATCATCATCATCATCACTATCACCATTATCACCATCATCACCATTATCATCACCACCTCTACCTCCACCACCACCACCTCCACCATTACCACCACCATCACCACCACCATCACCATCATCATCACCACCACCACTACCATCACTACCACTTCCACCACCACCATCTCCATCAACAACACCCCCATCACCATCATCACCATCATCACCATTATCACCACCACTACCACCATTACCATCTCCACTACCACCACCACCACCTCCACCATCACCACCACCATCACCACCACCATCACCATCATCATCACCACCACCACTACCATCACTACCACTACCATCACTACCACCATCTCCATCAACAACACCCCCATCACCATCATCACCATCATCACCATTATCACCACCACCACCGCAACCACCACCACTACCACCACCACCACCTCCATCACCGTCATGCCCAGAGTCCAGCACAGTGCCGGGCATTGTAAGTGGCTACTGAGAAGGAGCAGGAGCTTGTTGGGCAGAGGATGGAGGAGCCCCAGGCAGGGCACCGTGGTGGGAGGGCCTGGGTGTGAGAGAGCAGGTGTGTGGGAAGCAGGCGGTCACTGGGGCTGTAGATGTGGAGGGGAGGGCAGGAGCAGCTGGTGGGGGTGGGGAGCAGGGAAGGGGCTTGGATGCCACAGGAGTTTGGAATTTGTTGTAAAAGTAAGCGGGAACGATGGGAGGTTTTAAAGTAAGAGTAACCTGTTCTAATTCTTGTTGGAAGGCCCCTTCTGAGAAAGCTGGGGGTATATGTGCTGGTGCGCACATGCTTGGTGTATGCGTGTTTATACATGTCTGTGTGCGTGAGGGCCAAGGACATGGGCTGAAGGACCTTCCTCCCCATGTTCCTGAAGGGCTCGGACTCCTCAGTCCTGGTGGTACACTGCCTCCACCTGGGCGGCTGATCCAGGCCCCACCCAGACCAGATCCAGGCCCCAGCCAGACTAGATCAATTACTGTAAGTTTGGGACACAAGAGTCTTTAAGCTCCCTGGTGGATTCTAATGTGCAGCCAGGCCTGGAGCCCTCCTCTCCTGCCTCTGCCCTTCGCCTCAGGCAGGCTGGGCGGTCGCTGTGGTCTTACCCTCTGGATCAAGCTGGCAAACTGCAGGTTTGCTGACTGGGAGATGTTGAGGACGGTGCTGTAGGCGTTCTCGCCCCTGTTCTCCAGCACGGCCTCCACCGCCACCCGCCTGCGCGTGCTCTCGATGATGAAAACCGTGGTGTCGAAGGACAGCGTGTACGCGGAGCAGTCCTGCGCGGGCCTCCTCAGCACCCTCTGGCAGTACTCCCTGCGGGAGAGGGACCCCAGGGCTCAGGCCGACGGAGCGGGGAGGCGGGATCGACCTTCCTGCTCATGCGTCACCTCCCTGCTCAGCCTCTTCCTTTTGGCTCTGGCTGCCAGGAAGCTCGGAGCTAAATGCAGAGATCATTCTGATTATTAGCCTAGCTCAGTGGTCGGCAAACTCAGTAGTCAACGGAGCCACATATCAACAGTACAATGATTGAAATTTCTTTTGAGAGCCAATTTTTTAAAACTTAAACTTCTTCTAACACCACTTCTTCAAAATAGACTTGTGCTAGGCCGTGGTATTCTGTGGAAGAGCCACACTCAAGGGGCCAAAGAGCCACATGTGACTACTGGCTTACATGCTTAGATATTTGCTTCTTCATCCCCCTACAAGGTTTGAGTGTCTATTTCCACTTTTTTTTGTATATGTCATAGTGTATATGTCTTCTATTTAAACCATCTCATAGTTGTTTAAAAATTGAGCACAAAAAATTTGAAAACATAAATTTAAAATAGGATATCATTCCTTCCTCTTCCTCAGAGGCTAGTTTGTGTCTCTCAGGGATTGCAGGCCCCTGTGCTGGTCTCCTCAGCCTGGGGCTCACACAGCTGGTCCATGAACCTTAAAGGTCACCTCGTCTGAGATTGGAGGATGAGGTCCTGGGTCTCCAGGGCCCTGGCCTCCACCTTTTGTCTGCTTTGTAGTATGGGCTCCAAGGATTCCTTTTTCCAAATGAAGTTTGAAGAGATTTGATTAGATTAGCAGGTTTCATTTTACACAGTAGGCAACTGAGGCCCAGAGAAGGAGGAGACTTGCCTGAGGTCACCCCGGAGTTAGAGGCAGAGCCTGGACTAGACCCAGGCTCCAAGTTCGGTGTTTGATCCATGCTGCGTATGAGAAGGAAATGACCAGGGCCCCGGCATTCCCAGCTGCACCAGCAGGAAGGAAGGGGAGAGGGGGTAGGGGCGGGAGCCAGACTCACATGGCCGTGGGCAGGTCACTGCAGGCATCCAGCAGGAGGTCAGGGACACAGTGCTCGTCCTCGTTGCAGCCATTCCAGAAGGGAACCTGGACCGGGAGAGCCAGGGGGCGGGGCTGGCTGTGTAGGAACCCCACAGCCTGGAGGCCACGTCCCTCACCCCCACAGCCCACCAGCTCCTCTCTCCACTGCACTAGACACGGGCTTCGTCTTCTCTGCCCTTTTCAGACACCGCACTGCCCTTTCTCATGCTTTTGCATAGATTTCCCCTTCTCTAAAAGATGGCTCAACACTCAGCTCCTCCTGGGTCCCTCTCAGATCTCAGCTGAGCTAGTAGCACAAAGTACCCCCTTCCCCAGCAGGTCAGCTCCAGCGGACATGCACTGGTCCGCTTCTGTGCGAGTGGCCATCCTAGGGCTATCGGGTGAGGAAGGCACAGATTCTTCTCTCAGCTCCTGGGGAAGATGGGTGTGTGAACAACTAATTCTAGTGTGAAACGTGCAAAGAAAACATCTGTGTGACGAATAGAAGAGGCAGAGGAAGGAAACAGTTATTTTGTCCTCTAGATGGTCAGAGAAGGCTTCAGGCAAGTTCTGAGGGATGAGCCAGTTAGCTGACGGACCAGAGGGAGAGGACAGTCTCAGAGAGAGGAGGAGCCTACGCAAAGGTCCTGAGGCACGAAGCAGCAAGGGGAGTTGGGGAAACGGTGGATAGTTTGGTGTTGCTATGGCAAGGGGTGGGGGAGATGGACAGATGGGCAGGGGCCGGTTCCTAAGGGCCTTGGGGTCATGCCTGACAATGGATAGGACCCACTAACTGCCTTTGTCAGGGAGTGAACTGCCAGGCCTGAATCCTGAAGGCCCCTGCTGGCCTCCATGGGTGGATGAACTTGAAGAGTCAAGAGCAGAGGCAGGGAGACCTCGGAGATGATGAAATGTTCATGAAGGAGATGATGGCGGTGCCAGTGTGGTAGAGGGTGTGGAGAGGAGAGAACAGGTCATGGACTTTAGGGAGGGACCAGTAGGTCCTGGCTCCCAGGGCTAAGGGAGAAAGGATTCAGGCTGTTGGCGGAGTCTCCCTTTGCGTGTCTAGAAAGATGGCTGCACCATTCGCTCCTAAGTGGAGGGGCTAAGTGGAGGGGCACCCTGGCTTAGGGGCACATCCGGTTTAGGGGCGTGCTGAGCTTGATGTGCCCATGCCCATCCAGGCAGTTGGATACTCAAATCAAGCCCATGAGGAGCAGCAACTGTCACTCCCAGCCCAAACCCGGGGAGGGGAAACAGGTGTCACTTAAATCCATGAACTTTTCTCAAAGGCGAGCTCTGGCCTTTATTAGACCCACATGCTCGTAGTTTAGACTCATTCCTATCAAGCCTGCCCCTCGGCTTCCCCATCTGAGGATGGGGAGGGATGAAGAGGAGGGAGGGGAGGAGGAGGCTTTGCAGCCAGAAGCAGGCACACTGTAATAGCGCCAGGAGAGAAGACGGCAGAGCCACAGGAAGTTGGGCAGAAAGGTGATTCTGTGAAGGGACAGAGTTCAAGACACGTTGGTGGCCTCAGGGGCTCCATGTATTCCAGCAGCCATGCCGCATAGGTGAGTTCAAGTCTCCAGTGACATAGGTCCCGCCTCTGCCAGCGTGCTGTAAGGAGTGTGGAAACGCCATGACAACCGTCGGAAAACTCCTGTCCAGTTAGTTCATTAAAAAGGAATACTTTAATGTCACAGCAGCCGAACTACTCAATTATATGGAATGGCTCATTCCCCCAAGAGGTCAGTGCCGGGCGTTTAGCAGAAGCTAAGACTGCGGAAGAGTGATGAGAAGAATGTTGCTAATTTGTTGGGGGCTAGGCGTCCAGATGAACAGGATTTCCAGAAGCTTCGCTGCTTTGCAAAGCCCTCCGGAGTGTGCCCCAGATTGTCTTTACGGCTCGATTTTTCCCTTTTCTTCACATATCTCTTCACCTTGCTGTTTCCCACCTCCTGCCAGTGCTCCTGGAGAGAAGCCCGTCCTCCTCAGCTCGGCATATCATCCGTCACATCCAGTCAGAAGCCACCTCCTCCGGAAGCCCCTCTACCCTATCATCTGACTGCCCGGTACACTTCCTCGGAGCTTTTGGACCTGGCCGGTGACCCTTGTCACCAACTTGCATCGAGATCACAGAGTCAGAGCACTGAGTATCCCATATGCTTCCACGTGTGTGTGTACAGTGAGTGACACACAGTCATGTGCTGTCACGGCTTCGTTATTACTGCGATGGGGAAAACATTGCTGACTGAGTGCGCCCAGCTCGCCCCCTTGCCTGGCTCTGTCAGTCCAGTTCTCTCCCTCTCTACTGCATTTAAAAAATATATTTTTATTGGTTTCAGAAAGGAAGGGAGAGGGATAGAGAGATAGGAACATCAGTGATGAAAGAGAATCATTGATCGGCTGCCTCCTGCATGCCCCACACTGGGGATCAAGCCCACAACCAGGGCGTGTGCCCTGATAGGAATCGAACTCGGGAACCTTGAATCCGCAGATTGAGCTCTTTCCACTGAGCCAAACCTACAGGGCTCTCTACTGCATTTCCAGGCAGTCTCTCTTGCGTATTTGTGACTCAGAAGCAGGAGGGGTGGGGGAAGCGTGAAGGTTGAGGGTCGGGCGGCGGAGTGTGGGAGGTCTGGGAAGGGGGGATGCCGGAGGAGCTGGGGACTTGATGGCGGTGAATGGGAGCAAAGAGGGGATTTTCAGAAGTGATAGTATCGGAACCCCTTTATGTTAGAGAAATACATGTGAGTACGTGAGTTGAGTATCTGAAATTTTGTTTGCCGGCTGGGTTCTGTGCAGTCATCTCAGAGGCCAGACCTCACAGGTCACAGTATCTTGAGAGCTTTGTGGTCTGTTTCGAGCAGGTCTGAGACCCTGAAGTTTACACATTTGTCTGGTTTCCCAGCACAGCTCGGACAGAATTGGTACCCGTTTGACCTCTCCTCTGAGTGGGATGTGTAAGGAATGGCAGACGGCAGGGTGACTTGTGTCAGACTTCAGAACATTCTGATGCCCCTCCAGCAGGGGTTAGGAAACGTGGGTGAGGGCGGGGCCAGAGCCCCGGATGAGGCGAAAGCACCTGCTTTTGGAATACTTAGGAGCAGTGGGAAGGGTGTCTGCTATCAGCCAGTCATTCAACAAGCAGCAGACCAGGCACCCTCGGGCCTCCAGTGCCCTCATCTGTAAGGGAGGCCCCTCAGTCCTGTGATCCACTCAGTGCTCACTCACTCACCCTGTGCGGGGATGCGGGGGCCTCCAATAGAAGGCCTGGTCCTTCCCCTCAAAAGATGGTTCAGCACAGGCCACAGGGGGGCGGGAGGGAGCGTGCTGCGGGTTTGGGGGCAGGTGCAGGGGGAGAATTCCTTCGGGGCTGCCCCCCGCCCCCCCAGGTCTGGAGGCAGGGGCGCGGCTGGGGCCTGCACCAGGGCTGTGTGCTCTGGGCCTGGACGTACCGAGACTCTGAGGGTAGTGGGCCAGCCATCGTCCAGCATGGGGCCGTGGTCGGGGTCCTCCAAGGAATACTCCACTGAGAAGGCCACTGGCTTCACATAGTCAGCGGTGTCCTGTGCGGGAGGAGAGAGGGCAGGTGAGGGCAGAGGGGGCACCCACCGTTCCTGGGCCGGGACCTCTGAGAGGCATGTCACCTCCCGGAACCAGAGGGCAGTGCCCCGTGGGCCCTCAGCAGGAGGACCGGGGCGAGGAGCTGCCGTGGGGGCCGCAGCTGGAGAGCGTGTCTCCTGGACAAGGCCCTGGGCTCGGCCTGTGGCCACCTGGCTGCCTGGGTGCCTCACCAGCTCCTGCTCCTCCTTCATGGCCAGGCACCCAGCTCCCAACACCTCCACCTCCGGGCAGCCAGGCAGCACCCCTTCCACATCCTGTCCAGACCCGTCACCGCCACCACGACGGCCACTGCCACTGCCACTGCCACCGCCACTGCCACGGCCATGTGGCTCTCAAGCTCCTGGTTGTGTCGGAAGCCTCTCAGCACAGGCAGCGCTGGGACAGGGCTGGCTCAGGGCGTTAACCCATGAAGGAACAAGCCTGGGGCCAAACAGGCGTGCTCCCGGTTGGTCTGTATAGGCGGCCAGAGGGATGCTTGGAGGTCCTAAAAAATCTCCCTCAGGGAACCCTGATCCTGACACGCGTGGCTTCTTTGTAGGAAGGCCTTGGCTCCCAAACTGGAGAAGCTGCCGGATGCCCGGGAAGGGGGAGGGCGGTTAACACACTGAGTCCCACCCCCGGAGTTTCTGAGTCTGTAGGTCTGGGGCGGGGCTGGAAGATGTGCATTTCTAACGAGGTCCCCGGTGCTGGCGATGCTGCACCCCCCTTCCCAGACCCCCCCTTGCACCGTGACGCCCCGTTGCCAGCACATCAGCAGAGGCGCCATAGGAACAGACGTGAGGACGTCTCACCCCCACGAGCTTTCCGGACGCTGCCCGCTGCCTCCTGGGCCAGGGGCCTCCTCCTGCTTGTGTCCCTGAGGCTGGCGCTGTGGCCTGGGGACTTGGAGTTTCTTTATCCATTAAATGGGGCACCAGCCCCTCATGGGTTCTCCCTCTCTGCCTCTCCCTGTCCCTCCTCCCAGCGTGTCCGCCTCACTGGCCTCACCTGGTCTTCATTTCCAGCCGATGCTCACTTCCTCTTTTTTCCCCAAGCCACGGTCCCTGCCGGCTGACCCCTCTCCTTCCACCAGCGCTCCCCGAGCGCTCCCTCCACATCACCCCTGCTACAGAAGCAGTGGGCGCCTGGGAGCTGGGAGAAGGGGTTTCGGGGGAGGGCACTCTCACTGGTAGGTGGAGTGTCCCAATGGCCTTTTCTCTGGCGCCTGAGTAGGGGGTGGCCTCGGCCTAGGGCACTGCCCGCTGGCTGACCCCCTGCGGTCTCCACTGGCACCAGCTGAGCTCTCTGGCTTCCTGCGGCAGCACCCGCATCCCAGCCCCGGGCCCCTTCCTGCCGGAACTCGGGCTCTGCTAGCGGGGCTGCAGGGCGTCAGGCTCACCAGGACGTGGAAGTTGATCCGGTCGCAGTGCTCCCGGCCGGAGGAGAGCAGCACAGCCCTGTTTGTGTATCGGTCCCCACCCTCGTCCAGGTGGGCTCGTGGCGTGTACCGCCTCTCATCCATGGTGGCGTTGTACCTGATGCCTGGAGGAGGGAGAGGGGAAGGCCCTGAGGGCGAAGCCACAGTTCCACCCAAGGCTGTTTGCCTCTCGTTTAAAACAGCCCCTGGAAGTCAGCCTCCTCCAGGGAGCCCTCCAGGCTGGCCAGCACAGAGCTGCTCCTCTCCCCTCAGGAGGCCCAGTGTGGGCAGGAAACTCCCGTGCAGAGAGCAGGCGACGAAGGAGAAAGGAGAGAAGAAAGGAACCGAAGAGAAGAGGAAGGGAAATGAGGCTTACAGTGAGGGAACGTGAAAGAGGGAGAAATGGAGGGCAAAGTGAATGCAGTAGGAGGAGAGGAGACAGAACAAGGATCAGGGTGATGCCCGTGTGAGCCCCTCCCGGATTCTACACACCTTCCCGCCTCTGCCCTTTCTCTCCCAGCGCTCACCCTGGCTCTGGGATGCCGGCAGGTCTGGCCCAGAGCCCCTGCAGGCAGCAGGCCCCCTCACACTAGCGGGGGAGGCTGGCCAGCTCCCACCAGCTTCCCTCCACTTCCTCCAACTTCAGACTCTGATCTGGGGTTGAAGTCCTACAGCCCCTCCCCTTCAGCGAGGCTGATCTTTCTCGGATTCCAGGAAGGCCAGGCCCTTCTGGGCGTGTGAATCCTGGCATCTTTCTCCTTTCCCAGGTCGCAGCTGGGAGAAAGGCACACCACCAGGCCCGACTCTGTCCTCATCTCCCCCCGACACCTGTTTCTCCTTCGTCTGGGTGGCCCTGCTCCCTGGCTGAGAAGCTCTCTGTAGCCCCCATTCCTGCACGGCCCTGCCTGGGTCCTAGGCCTGCCTGGGCCCAAGGCTGCCCTGAGCAGTGTCTGAGCCCAGCCTTGGCCGGAGGTGAAGTGATGGACCCTCAGAGGCGCCCGCCCTGCTGCAGGCTTACACCTCCTCCTCCTCGGCAGAGCCCGCGGCTGCGGGGTCTCCATCGCCTGATCCCTGTCCCCGCTCCCCTCCGGCTGACTCCGTGGCATTCGCATCCAACTTACTCCACTGCTTCCAGTCCTCTGTTCTGATCCAAACTGCACCCCTACCATCTCCTTCTCCTCCAGGCCTTTCCTCTGGTCCCCGCTGTCACTGGCATGCTACCCCCCCTGTCCTCCACAGCTAGAGCGTCCGATGGGCATCTAGCAGCCATCAGAGGTGGCTCTAGGTGTGACCTGGAACTTTTACCCAGTGAGAGCACAGCTTTTGAAACAGAGCAATCCCATCGGCCATGGGGGGGTGGGATGGGGAGGAGGGCTTGGTTTACCGACGGTGGCCGTCTGGAAGTGCGGCGCCAGGAAGACGGGCGTGAGGCAGAGGAAGGCGGCCAGGCAGGTGGCGTCCCTGCCACTGCGCTTGCAGTCCCGGTGGAAGATGTTGATCTTGGGCGGCTCGAAGCGGAGGCTGGCATTGACCTGGATCACGGGGCGGGACCTGGAGAGGAAGGGCGGCAGCTGGGGTGGGTGGGCCCAGGGCGGCCCCGCTGTGACCTGGGGGCAGGCGGAGAGCAGAGGGGGGTGGAATACGCAAAACCATGCCTGGAGGGTGAGGCAGTGTGTGGGGATGGGGCGGTGGTAGAGGGGACGGACCCTAGTTGTGGAAGAATTGGGGCAAAACAGGCTCAGCGACCCCCTGGCTCCTTGAGGCAGCTCTTCACTGTTTTCCTTGCTGCGGACCTCACTGACTTCCTTTGGCCTCCCCGTCGCGTTTAGAACAGTGGATTCTAACCCGGATAAACGTCAGAGTAATCGGGAGAGCTTGAGAAATCCTGTGCCCAAGTTGTACACAGAATCGGCACTGCCATGTCTTAAAGCAGTGCATATATATAAGACATATATATATATGTCTTTATTGATTTCAGAGAGGAAGGGAAGAGAGAGAGATAGAAACATCAGTGATGAGAGAGAATCATTGATCGGCTGCCTCCTGCACACCCCCCACTGGAGATCAAACCCGTAACCCAGGCACGTGCCCTTGGCCAGAACAGAACCTGGGACCCTTCCGTCCGCAGGCTGGCGCTCCATCCATTGATCTAAGCCGGCTAGGGCCAGTGCTTCTATATTTTAACACTGGCATGTCTCTTGGGGGCCTGGGAGACTGCAGACCTGATTGATAGGTGGGCACAGATGCCGCATTTCTAGCAAGTTGTGGGGATTGCTGCTGCTGTTGGCCCCTGGACCAGACTGGGCAGGGCTTGGTGTGAAAGCTCCCAGGTGAGTCCAGCACGCAGCTAAAGGGGGGACCCATTCCCTGTCCTGAGAGTCCACACCGGTCCACCCGGCACCGCCCGTCCAGGCAGCCATGGAGACGCAAACGTACTCTTCCCCTGGTCTAAGTCAAACCTACTCCGGGAAGGAAATGCATTCCTTCCAAACTGGAAGTGAGTATGAAAAGAAGTAAGTGTAGTGGATGTATTATAGATGCTTCAGAGTTTCTGCGTGACTGTCTGTGCTAAGACTCTGCTCTTTGTAGCATATGGGGGGCGGGGGTGGGGTGGGGTGCTGTGCACTTGCTGTGGAGTGAAAAGGGTGGTTTTGGGTCTTGGCTCCGTTGGTTCCTCCAGAGACCTTGGGCAGGTCATGTGACCTCTCTCACGGGAATTGGAAGTATCAAAGCAGGTAGTGAGACAGTGTGGTGTGCAAACATAATAGCTCCCCTCAGTGGTTCTCAAACTCAGCTATCCATGGGAAACAAGCACTGGGGAGTCTTTAAAAACTATTGTGGCTGGGCAAAGCCTGGGCAGTGAAAGATTTAAAAGCTGCCCAGGTGATGCTAACCGGCAGGCAGTCTGATGGGAGATCGTGGGACCTAGTCTCCCCAAGGGGCTCTGCCCACAAGCCCATCACTGCTCAGGCGGCCCTTCCCGTGGACTCGGAGGCTAGAGCTTGATCAGTCCTTCCTGTTGGGGTGTGTATGCGCCCACTTTGTTTCCTGTAAAGCACTTACTTAGTTCTTAGTTTCACCCTAAGGACCCGCTAGGCCACATGTACACCTTACCCTGGGTCTTAGTCACCTGTCTGGCTTCCTGACTGGAACCAATACAGTGAATACCTTTACCGTCTGAGCTGCCACCTCCAACGACCTAAGAGCCCCCACAGGGTTCGAGCAGACTGTCCCAGAGAGCTGGGCCGCTCCCACAGAGACCCTTCCCCCTGCGCGCCCAGCGGCCGGGGCCACCACCTGGGGGTGCGGGCAGCTGGAGCTCGGCCATGGCCACTGGGGGACATGAGGAGCCCGCAGGTGCCCTGCTCCCCCCCTGATGCTATTGCAGGGAGTGGAGGTGGCGTCCCCCCTCTGGAGAGACAGTGAGAAGGCGCCAGGCTGAGCCTGCAGAGTTCTCCACGGTGGTCACACGCCCATCGCAGGCCGCTGCGGAAGCCCTCCCCCCCAGAGCATTAACGCCCAAGCTTCAGCTGTCTGCTAGAAAAGCTGGCCTCACGCACGGCCCCACGGGAGGGAATAGTCTTGAGGCCCAACAGCATGTCCGCTCCTCCTTTACCACCCTGCGAAGCCACACCACGGCCGGTTTGATGCCTCTTATGAGTTGTATGGAAAATGTGGCTGCATTTATAGACCATTATATGCAGGCGGAAAAAAGTTCAAAAGGGATAGGCCAAAATGTTAACAGTGGTGACGATTAGGTGATGAAACGGAGCGACTTATTTACTTTACAAATTTTCCTTAAGTTACCCTATTTATGATGAAAAAAAATCTCATACAAAAAAAGTTCAAATTAAAAAAAATTTTTTTTCAGCTCAAAAAGTAGCCACCACATGGTAAAATATAAAGGCTTTAAGAAAGCTTTTTTTTTTTTTTTTTTTTTTTTTTTTTTAAAGCTGTAGACGTCTGCTAAGGAGAGAGACTGTGTGCAGACAGACGGCAAATGTCTAGCAGGTTGGTGCAGGAATTAGGCCCCGGGAAGGAAGACAAGTAGTGCGAAGGGCTTTGGAGAGAAGTAATCTCTGTATTACATACATTCTTCTCCCCGGCGGAGGAGGGAGAGCTGTTCCTTTAAGGAGCTTGAGAAGCTGAAGCCGAAGAAATGCTTAAGGAGCCAGGGCGTGTAGGGTACATTCTAAGAGGCGCTCTTTGACACCCAGTGCCCCAACATCTTAGAACGCCACTGGGAAGAGGGGCTGGGACTTTGACATAAGGTAGTCGTTCCCTACAAAGACTTGTAACCACCACGGGGGAGGAGCAGGGGGAGTTCGGCTGACCATGGTTACAGAAGGGGACCCGGATCCCCAAGCACAGCTTTTAAACCCCGCGTCCGCTGTGACTCTCCGGAGAGCCACGAGCCAAGGAAAGCGGAGGGACCCACCACAAGATCACAGCGCCGCCCAGGGCGCCCACCGCCAGGTCGACGAGCCCATCCTCGTTGAGGTCCAGTTGCCCGTGGAGGCTGCAGCCGAAATACTGGAGGCCGGGAGCCAGCTCCGAGGCAGCGATTCTCTGGGAGAGGGACGAGAAAGCTGGGACCGGACACTGTTAGACTGAGGGGGGGGGGGGGTGTAGGGGGGCCCTAATGGGCAAATACAAGTGGGAACCCCGAATGGAGCCTCCAGCCCAAAGCTCTCTCCTCTCCTGGTCTGTGCTGGCCCCTGAAATGCCTGCCTTTAGGTCAGTGGTTCTCAACCTTCCTAAGCCTCGACCCTTTAATGCAGTTCCTCATGTTGTGGTGACCCCCAACCATAAAATTCTTTTCGTTGCTTCTTCAGAACTGTAATGGTGCTACTGTTAATGAAGCGTAATGTAAATATCTGTGTTTTCCATGGCCTTAGGCTCTACAGCAGTGGTTCTCAACCTGCGGGTCATGGCCTACAGGTTGAGAACCGCTAGCAGGGTCACCTAAGACCCTGATATTTACGTTACGATTCATTAACAGTAGCAAAATTACAGTTCTGAAGTAGCAACGAACATAACGTTATGGTTGGGGGTCACCACAACACGAGGGACTGTGTTAAAGGGCCGCGGCATCAGGAAGGTTGAGACCCACTGCTCTAGACTGTGCCTCTGGACTAAAGCACTGTGTCTGAAAAGAGTTCCCCAGGAAGTGTAAGTCTACGGTACCTGGCGGGTAACCCATCAGTACCGCAAACGTGGCCGATTAGACTGTCTCCCTAGTAACATTAAGCAAAGAAAACAACCTTGCAGGGACGGGGCCTGAGGGCCGAGAGCAAGGTGACCGGTCTGAAGCATTTCTGGAGAAGAGCCAGCGGATGGGAGCTCTCCGCTGTGTCAGGTGCACGGATGCATGTGGAAAGGGTGAGGTCCGGCCGAAACCGGTTTGGCTCAATGGATAGAGCGTCGGCTTGGGGACTGAAAGGTCCGGGGTTCGATTCTGGTCAAGGGCATGTACCTTGGTTGCGGGCATATCCCCAGAAGGGGGTGTGCAAGAGGCAGCTGATCGATGTTTCTCTGTCATCGATGTTTCTAGCTCTCTATCTCTCTCCCTTCCTCCCTGTAAAAATCAATAAAATGTATTAAAAAAAAAAAAGAAAAAAAAAAAAAGAAAAAAAAAAAAAAGAAAAAAAAAAAAAGAAAAAAAAAAAAAAGAGAAAGGGTGAGGCCCGGGGCTCTGCTGTGGCTGCTGAGATGGAGGTACGCAGGGAGAGGTGCCCACAGGGGTGATGTGGGAGTCCCCGAAGGAAAATGTGCCCGGTTCACCATTTGGACACAGAGGCAGGAGAGGGATCCTTCCCGGGATGAGGACCCAGGAGACAGCCTGAGCCGATGGCTGTGCAGGAGCCACGAGGCTGGAGGGCGCCGCGCCCCGCGTTGGCGCTACCTGCTTGGGCGCCCTCAGGAGGCTGCCGCGGAGGCCGTGGAAGATGTAGACGGCCCCCGCGTGGCTGTCCTCCAGCGGGGCTCCCACCGCCACGTCGTTGTAGGAATCCTGATTGAGGTCGCGCACGGCGACGATGGAGGCCCCGAAGCGGGCGTTCTGGAAGCTGTGGGAATCCTGCAGCGTCCCGTTGTAAACAAACCGGCTCTGGAAAAGCAGGGGCAGGGAAAGGCTCAGGGCGCCTTGGCAAGGGCCCTCGGGACCATGACGCCCTCTGGCCTGCAGCCTCCCCTCTCGCCGCTCTCCCCAGCGTCCCTCCTCTGGCTACAGACGCCCTCCTCGGCCTGGCTCAGCAGTGGCCATGGGCCTTTCTGTGACCCAGCTTTCCTCGGGGGAACCAGGGCGAAGGCAGGGACCAGGTGCCCCTGGGAGGCCGCCCGTCCCCCCAAATCAGTACCTGTCTCAGGGTGTAGACGTACACCCGGCCTCGCTCCCGGCCCTCGCTGAAGTACATGGGGGCGCCCACCAGCAGGACGTCGGTCACCCCGTCGCCATCGATGTCCACCGCGGTGATCTCACTGCCATAGTAAGAGCCTATCTGCGGCACAGGGGGAGCGGGGGCTGGGCTGCTGGGAGCCTCGCCTCGCCAGACAGACCACAGCCTTTGGCTCGGAATTTAGGGTGAACACACCAGAAGGCCCTCCCCTTCTCACGCCTCCCTCCCTTACCCCATCCCACGGAGCAGACTGGCCCTGTCAGTCTGTCCTTTCTCCTCCTTTTTCCTTGTTATATAGCTCTGCCCCACTCTTCTTTCCAGTGTTCAGTCTTAGTGACTGCCATCTCTTCTGTTTGTAACGGACACATTATAATGGCAAAAAGAGCAACATAACAAAAAGGCCTAAAGAAGAGAATAAAGGTCATCCCTTGTCCAAACTCCAGCTGCTGTGAGCCTTTCAGTGTGTTTTTTCCAGTCTGTTTTCTCTAGGTTGTGTGCCCTGTGCCCTGTGTGTGTGTGTGTGTGTGTGTGTGTGTTTGGTCTATTTTTCCAACCTAGGAACATATTATACATATGGTTGGCATACTGATGGAGCATGAGCATTTGTTATTTTTTACTACACAACATTGCTGATTCTATAATATCCAACATTATGCCTGTGCCAATGTGTTTAATCAGTCCTCTATTGTTGAACACTTAACTCGTTTCAATTTTTAATGTCACAGATGCTGGGATTAGCACCGTGTGTGGTGAATTACGATTTCTTTCCAGCTTTGAGCAGTCACTGTGTCCCTCTCCCACACCAGGTGCCACACTCCCCACCTCAGTGAGGGCGCCAGCACCCAATCAACCAGGGGGTCCTCCCCGGCCCCACCCTTTGCCCTCTCCCACCTGCAGTCGCCCAGCGAGTCCCACCTGATGTTTGCCGAACAGGGCGCCGATCCATCTACTTCCCCGTCTGCTGCTCCCTCCAGATCGGGCACCATCCAAGGGCCTCCCTGCATCCAGGCCCCTCCAGCCCACCCCACGCACAGCCAGAGTGGCCTCTAGCCGCTGACCATGCTGCTTCCTTGCTTTTGGGAAAAAGCCCAAACTCTCCGGTGTGATGCTGCTGGACCTGCCTCCCTCCGTCCCCCACGTCTGGCTCCTACAACCCCTCCTGCCACATCCTGTGCTTTCTCTTCGGCAGAAGCCCCAGGCCTTCTCGTCTCTCCCTGCCCCATGAATGCCTACCATCCCTCAGGTCACTTTCTATTAGAAGCATCTCTGCCCTTCCCACTCCACTCCCCACAGTGGGTGCCCCTTCTGGATGCTCCCCTGGCCTCAGACTCCTCCCACCAGCGGCTGCTCCCTCCACAGGTGCCTTGTGAGGTGGGCACTGTGCCTGCTGAGTTCCCTCCAGGCGGTGGCACCCTGTCTGGCACAGGGGGGGGGGTGCACTCAGTAAATGTTTATTCAACCAGTGGGTCACCCAGGAACGGGAAGGAGGCTTCCCAGGGACAGGCCTGTATGATACACTTTACAGCCTCGGGTTTGCAGGCATGAGCCTCATGTTTCCTGAAGAGACATCATGGCCCTCTGACAGGGAAGGAGCTGAAGCTCAGAGAATTTGAGTCACTTGCACAAGGTCATGGCCAAAGTGGCTGGAACTTGGGTCTGTCTAACACCCGAACCCATAACTCTCCCTCTCCCAGTCACCTCCTGACTTAGGGTGCTTTCAGAAAAAAAACTATCCTAAAGCGTGAACAGCTTTAAACTAAGGAGAACATAAAAATACAGAAGAGAAAAACAAAAATCACAAACCCGGGGCAAAAGATGTGCTTGCCTAAAGTAATTAAAAGGCAGACTGAGAAAAAATAAGGGGTGTGTGTGGGGGAGGGAGACATTTGTCTAAATATGTGGCCTCAGCTATGTGGGTCATGGTGATTTAGAATCCACTTCATTTAGCTGCCTTCAGCACTGCGGTTTCTCTCTCGGATGTTGGAGGCGGGACTGGGCAGTAAAAATGTCATAAATCCATCAGCAAATTCCCTCCAGCTCTCAGGGTCTAGGCTTGGATTCCCAAAGGAGCTGGCCCTGGCGAAGTGTGGGTGGAGAGGGCAGAGGCTGGGGGACAGAGCAGGGTCCTGGGTCCACCATTGCCCTTGAGATGCCAAGAGGAATGGTGGGATGAGGGCTTCCTACAGCTGGAGGGGTTTAGGTTAGACCCAGGGAGGAACTTGTCCTCAAGGCGACAGGACAGGGCAGTAGCCGGTGCCAGAGACAGGGCCGTTCCAGGCTCTGTAAGCTGGGACAGTAAGACCTGGACAGGGCCCAGCCTCAGGCCCAGGATGCCATGGATGCTGGATCCTGCTAGTCAGGAGGGGCCGAGGCCTGGTTTTGGGGTTGGGGGTTAGGAGGTGGCACAATGCAAGAGCCCCACCGAGAGTCCTGAGTGCTGAACTTGACCCAGCCACGAGCCCACTCCATAACCATGGAAAAGCTATGCTGCTTCCCAGGACGGCAGGCTTCCTCGGCTACTGAAATGACCTTTTCACCACCAGTGACTGTTGTCTTAGCTTTCCATCTGCGCTCATGACCGTCCAACACGGGACTCTCCGCAGCACGGTCTGGTTGTCCACCACACCCCAGGCGGGGCAGTGGCGTTGGCCGCCGTACCGTTCTGCATTGCTAACATTCCAGGAAAAGGGAAGAGGCTGGCGTCTTGGCGAACCCCTGGGGCCTCGAGGCGATGGGTGCACAATCGCTCCCACTCCTGGCAGTGAGAAGGTGGCTTAGGGAGCATGACTGCCCCGCGGGACACCGAGGGACCTGCAGCCCAGGCCGGGAAGCACAGCCTAGATTAGGGGTGTCGAACTCAATCAGAGAAGGGGCCAAAATCCTAAAATCCAGCCTAAATCGCGGGCCGAATCGTTTACTGAACAGTCATAAACTGTCATTGTGATGGAAACGCAGCGGAGTGCAGTGATGACAGCGCGGTGCGGGCCACATTGCAAGGCCTGGCGGGACGGATTTGGCCCGCGGGCCTTGTGTTTGACACATGTGGCCTAGATGCTGCTTCTAGCCATGAGCTCTAAACATGAGCAAGAAGAAGCTGGCAGTCGGGGTGAGGTCCATGAAAGGCAGGCAAGCACATGCTCAGCAGAGGGACCAGGCCTGGCTTTCTGGGGCTGGACTAGTTTGCTCCGAGGCTGGTGGGAGGGAGAGAGATGTCCCCCACCCAGGAATGATGTGTGTGGGTCTGGGGACCGTCCTACTGAGAGGGAAGAGAAGAGCTTCAGAGACCCCGCCAGCCCAGCTTTCCCATTGGCCCAGCCCTCTCTGCTCCTCCCTCCCTTCCTTACCTGCTCGCCCCGCAGGGCCTGGTGGATGGTGAGGCTCCGGTTGTTGTGCATGGTGAACAGGATGGCTTTGCCGGTGTGGTTGAACCGGGGGGCTCCCGCCACGTACACCCGCCCCTGCCTGGAGGACACGACCGATGTGACTGTGTACCCTGCCGCAGAAGAAACAGGCTGGTCTCTGGCCCGCGTGCTCTGCAGGCCCTGCCGGGCCCCACGCACGGCTCTGCTGTGCGGAGAACAGGCCGGGGCAGGGGGTGCATTCAGGGCCGGCCGGCTGGGCAGATGCCGAAGCTCAGGGCAGTCATTCCCAGGCCTGCACCCAACCCTGCTGGCCGGAGGATACAGGAAGCCAGGCGGGGCCACTAACGGCGACCCTGACCTGGAATGATCACATCCCCTCCTTCACCGGCAGCAGGAGGGAGAAGGGTGAGCCCAGGCCACGTTTCATTTCATATCAGGCAGGCTTGGTTTTTGATCCTCACTACCTGTTTATTGGGGACCAAACAGTGCCCTCTCCATTCCCATAAATCCTTGCCTAGTGGCTCATGATCACCAATGTTGTCTGTGTGGCTGCAAAGACCTCAGGGATTCTTGCAGCCCCAAAGCTCTGCAGACTCAAAGGAGGGAGGTCCCAGGTCCTCTCAGGCCACACACACGCCACGCAGAATAGGAAGCAATGGAAAGCCAGGGCTCTTTGGAAAGACGCCCATCTGTGTTCTCAGGATGGCATTGCCTGATCACGGTGACTCTCGAGCTGCCCACTCAGCGCCCAGAGGGTGACCGTGCAGCATCTCTCCGAAACCAGGCAAAGCGGAGTTCCACTCTCTGCCAGATGATTTTGAATCTTGGACTGCGGTTTTTAGATGGGTGTCAGGCCTGCTGGCAGTTCCTGGGCTCTTTCTGGGAATGGACATCTCCTTCTGCCATGTGTGCACTCCTGTGTGTGTGCATGTGTGTGCATGTGCGGGCATGTGTGTGACACTGTCAGCCGGTTCCTAGCAGTTGGTTCCAGAGTGGCTGCAGGATGCACAGTGGAGCTGGTTCAGTGGCTGGGAGTGTGGGAGCAGCAGGGTGTCTACTCTGGTTCCAGACACAACTTCTCTGACCCCTGGAGGTGACCTGGGAAACGGGGCTTGAAAGGTCAGTGGGGCCAGATGCCACGTGGGGTGGCTACTGTGGCTGTGCATTTAGCACAACCACAGATGCCTGCATGAGGGGGTGGGGCTAGCCTTGCGGTGTGGAGCAGAGACTTCTTCTGAGCTGAGCCCTCAGTGGTCCTGCTGGAAATGCTTTCAACTGGCCCCAGGCCTCGGGCCTTCCAAGTGGCAGATGGTGGTGGCGGGAGGGGCCCGGGGCTGCATGCCCTGAGGGCAAGCGTGGGCTGCCGGGCAAAGCTCCCGGCAGCACTGAGAATTTCCCATCAGTCTGCTGGCTGGGGCTTCGGTTCCCATGTGGCTCTTTGACCAGCAGGCAGGGCCACCCTGAAAGCTGAACCCGCCTCCGAAGGCCTGCCCAGAGGGCTCGGCCAGCAGGCCATACAGCTTCCCCATGGAGGCAGAGAGCCGGGCCTCCCCGTCTCCTTCCCCCAGTCTCCCCACTCCCTTGGGGCACGTAGGGAGGAATCTTCCAGAGACCCAGACTCTGCCCCAGAATGAGGAGGAGCAGGAGAGGTGGTGCCTGTGGTTAAGACCAGGGTTTCACGAGGATCCTTCAGCCTGGCTTACCCACCAGGACCTTCTAGGAGGAGGAGGAGCATTAGAAACATCCACGGGAGCACATTTCAGGGGCAGGTGCATGGCTTGTCATTTATTCTACCTGCTCACTCGCCGGGTAGGGTGCTGGCGTGGTGGCGCCAGGCGGAAGAGGCGATGGCCCTGACCCCGGCTCGAATCAGCACAGAATGCTCACGGGTGGGCCCCTCGGGTCACGGGTGGGCGGTGTGGCTCCCCGGGGCCCCTCCTTGCCCACTGCCCACAGCGCCCCCACGGGCTCTCACCCAGATACGCGCCGTGGTTCTTGAGCTCCTCGGGGAACTCCTTCAGGTAGGACTCTCGGAGGGGGATGACCTTGCCGCCGCTGGTCTCCTTGAGCACAGCTCCGTTCCAGTCGTAGGCGCCCACAGCTCCCAGCAGCACCCCATCCTGACGGTGGGGAGGGACACACATCAGCTCCGGCCCCCCAGACGCCCTCTCCGGGAAGCCACACCACATCCCGCACCACGAAGCACCTGCCAGCCTCCCGGGGTGCCTTCTCCCGGGTTCATTACTTAACAGCCCAACTCTGGAGCCTGGATCCTTGGCTTCTGAATGAGTCCAGGGCCTTCTTGCCCCAACCCATCCTTAGAGCAAAATGGGTCAAAGTAATCCTAAGGGTGGGACCTTAGGAGAGAAGGAATGTTCTAGAAAGAAACTCCAAGCCCACAACCAAACCCCCATTACTCTGTGGGCTTCAGAACCCCTGCGGGAAGTCTCCTGTCACTCTCCCTCCCTCCGACACCCCTTCCCGCTGTGCCCCACACTCGGCCTCCGCCCGCATTCCACTGTAGGGTCTGGGTGGCTCCCTGTGTGTAAATCCTACTTCTTCATTTTCTTTTTAAGTAAAAATTCGCTGTGTTTACTTTGTGCCAGACACCTCATGGAGCTCAAAGACCCCAAAGGAATATACAAACACGTGAAATAGTCGCAAACCGTGATACATGTGAAGAGGGATATAATAAAGGCCACAGTGAGGTTTAATTCAGGTCGAGACAGGATCAGCAAAGGCGTTTTTTGAATGCGATGCTTATCCAGACAACTCGTGCAAAGGCCCTGGGGCTGGAGAGGGTTTAGAGCACAGGTGTCAAACACAAGGCCCGCGGGCCAAATCCGTCCCACCAGGCCTTGCAATGTGGCCCGCACCGAGCTGTCATCACTGCACTCCGCTGCGTTTCCATCACAATGACAGTTTATGACTGTTCAGTAAACCATTCGGCCTGCGATTTAGGCTGGATTTTAGATTTTGGCCCCTTCTCTGATTGAGTTCGACACCCCTAGTTTAGAGCCTTTGGTTTCGAGGAACTGAAAACTGGGTCTGGCATGCTGAGTGAGGCGGGCGGTGTGGTTCAAGATGAGGCTGGACAGATGAGCCAAGGCCACATTCATGACAACCCTCTCCCTTCCTCCCTGCAGTCAATACAAATACATATTAAAAAAAAAAAAAAAAAAAAAAGCATCTGGGCCGGATTGTCAATAGGGCTGAGACTGAGAATTCCTGGCTTCGTGGTTAGAGTGTGAGCTCTGGAGACAGACCTTCCTGACTTGTTCCACTTCCAGCGCTTCGAGCTGTGTAACCTCTGGCAGGTTTCTCTCTTCTCTGAGCCTCTCGGGTTCCTCAGCTGTTTTGTTGTAAGAACTTTAAATTCTTAGCAGGTGCTTGGCAGCTACGAAGGGCTGGGTACACAAGCAGCTGTTCTCATGCGTTAGTTCATCCACGAAGCACTTCCGGGGCAGGGGGAGGGGGCCGGAGTCAAAGCGTCAGCTCTCCCGGTCCAGTTGGTGCTCCGGATGGAGCTTCACGTCAGCTGGTGAGCAGTGCTCCCACGGAGGCAAGGACAACCTGTTTTGGGGCCCAGCCGAGGGAGGGGGTGGATGTACATTGGAGTCAGGAAAGGATTTTAAGAAAACCTTACTTGATCCATTATTACGTTAAGTCTCAAAATGGCAACGTCCTTTCCAAGCCTCAAGATTCAATTCTACAAATACTTCTCAGACATCCATTCAGAGATGAAGGCTCAGACAGGCTGACTGATTTGTCTGAGGCTGCGCGCCAGGCAGTGATGGACTGAGAACGCCAGGTGCCAGCGATCCTTCCCGGCGCCGGCGAGGCCGGACGGTGGAGGCAGGTGGAGGTGGTCAGCCGCGGTCCCGGGCGCTGGCGTGCAGGGAGACCCCCTCTGGGTGCTGCCCTCCTCCCCCAGGCGCTCCCACGGCTCCCTAGTGCCCGTGTGCCCAGCACCAGAGTGACTGTGGAGGAGGCGGGACTCTATCCGCAGGAGCCCCTCCTAAGGGTTCTGTCATTCAGAGGGTGCGTTATGCTTTGACTAGCAGCTTGGATTCTGGCATGGCACTGCTTTCAAAAGGCTCAAAGTGAAGCCCGAGGAAGGATGCGTGCCAGGCGTTTAGAGGGGGCTGAGCAGGAAAGACCCAGAAACAGGCCCTCAGCCTCTGTGGAGGGGAGCCCCTCACCGCGTGCTGCTCGGAGCCGGGGCGGGGCAGGGAGGAGGGGCCACACCGCACCTGCTCATTCAAGACCTGCGGTTGGCGCCTCTGTGCACAGTTTCTGGGAACCAGGGTCAGGAGTGGGGTGCTGGGCCCCGGGCACGGCCCAAGGACACACGGTTGGGCTTTGGATAAGGTGACCAGATCGTCCAGGTGTTGGCGGGACAGTCCTGATTTCTAACAATTTTTCCCATGTTCCGCGGCGTTTTAAAAAAGTCCCGATTTTTGGAAAGATTGGAAACATTGGAAAGATTCTTAAAAAAAAAAAAAAAAAAAAAAAAAAAATCGGGACTTTTTAAAAATGCTGTGGGACGCGGGGAAAATTGTTAGAAATCAGGACTGTCCTGCCAACACCTGGATGATCTGGTCACCTTAGCTTAGGAGGCCCTTAGCAAACCGGAAGTGATTCCGGCTCCCAGCAGTCACCTTGGAAACAGTCTGGAATAAACACGCTGGCAGACCTCGGCTACCACGTCCTGGCCTCACGGGAGGAGCGGGGGATGGAGGTGGGGTGAGCGGGGAGGGGCCCACAGACAGCCCTGACCCACAGCCCTGCCTGCCTGCCCTAGCGGGCAGGTGGAAGAGTCTACCCCATCGCTCAGGCAGATGGGGGCTCAGGAGGGACTCACAGCTTCTGGGTCATTTCACCCCCATGGACTGGTTTTGTTCACTGTCGGATTGGATCAGATAAGCAAACCTAGTGAAAATGCAAAACTCTTTTGGATAGTAACAGCTTTAAGGCTTCAACAGCTAAGAGCCGTAGATACAGCCAATGACCTTAGCTATCTGGTCCACAGCCCAGGAGGGCCCGTGTGGAGGGCGCAAGCTGAAGAGGAGGGGGTGTGTAGGTTACAGGAAAAATGATCTCTTCTTATCTGGGGGTTTTTGTAGGCAGATTCACCCCAATAAAACTGCTTCCTTCTGTAAACAATTGGTGTTGAGGGGGATTTATGGACTCATGTGGGATGCTTAATGGGAAATTCCTCTGCTGAGTCCTCCCCAGCAGCTCCATCCATCACCATGGGCGCCAATTCCTTATGGTTCTCTTCCTTCCTCCACACCTTTCCCTGTGGCCCATGGGGATTATAGACTCTCAGAGTCGATGCCGCCTGAGGGGAGGGCGGTATGGCTCCCTTCTGAAAGCTTTCTGGAAGTTTCTTCTTGACTACCCAGCTTGGCAGGGAGTTCACTACCTCAGTAGCCAGCCAGCCAGCCAGCAGTAGAAGCCATTCCAGCCATTAGTGACCTTCGCTTGCACTTCCAAATGCGAATGAAAGCATTGGCTTAAGAATCCGTTCTGGGATTTGACCTGGGAGCCGTATGTCCAGGATACACTCTTTCTCCTGTTTGCAAATCAGGACTAGAGTTCTCGGGTTGGCTCCAGCTCTCAGTTCCCCTCAGTGGCTCTGATCTTGGCCATCAGCGTGGGATGCAGTTGTTTGTGGTGTGGAGCCTGGGGCTCGGTAGGGGCCAGGTGATGTTCTGGGGCCTCCTCTCCTGTGCTGGGCTCTGGCCCCTCCTTCCTCACTCAAAGGTTGGTTTCTTCGTTGACAGCGGGCAGCAGGCCAACAAGCTGCTGGGCCTTTCCTCTGCCATGTGGGAGCATTCTACTGGTTCCCGCCCCCCTGACCAGAGACCTTTCCTCTGACGTAATAAACAGGCTCGGGGCAGCTGAAGCTCCTTCCCTCCTTTGCAGGGAGCAGCTGTGTGAGGCTGTCCACGTGGAGCCCTTCTGGGGGAGATGAAGCCTGGGGGCTTGCCCAGGAGATGGACTCCTGTAGGCTCAGGACCTGCTCTGGGCAAAGCTGAAAGGCTGGGCCCACTGGCCCTGGGGCCCCAGAGAGATCTGACTGCCCCTGAGAGCTGCAAGCTGGACTCCCAGGGACAGGTTGGCTGCAGCCAATGACAACATCCATGGCTGGCGTCGAAAAACCTTCGTGTTTAATATGGCCAAACAGTCTGCCATCATTGCACCATTCCTTTGGATTTGGAAGTTTTTTTTGTTTTTTTTTAGTTTTTTTTTAGTATTAAGGAGTCTCATTCCAATGTAATCATCTTTCTTTTAAAGTCGATCAAGTAAACATTCCAGCTACCTGTCACTTGAAAATAAGACTGGGGGTGACAGAAGAACCGGGGCCTGTGTCTACAGGATGGGGAGAGGCCCCCTGGCCTCTCCGCTGGGCATGTAGTAGCAGCTGCGCAGGGCAGAGCACGGCCTTGGCCTCAATTACAGGCTGGAGCCCTGAGCTCCTGGTCTCCCTGCAGCAGCTGCGGAGCCTGGAGGTCCACAGGACCCGCCTTGCCCCTCACACTGAGCTGCGTGGGCCGTTGTCAGGGCTCAGCGCAAGCGTCCTCAGATACCCGACGTGCATCGTCATTTCCCTTTTCTTCAGGCTTCCGGTTTTCATCAGACATCACAGAATGAGAAGCGGGAGACTGAACTTACTACCTAAGAATCTTTCTCCCCCGTTAGACCTCGAGCTGCTGCCAGCTGAAATGTGACCGTAATCTTCATCTATTTATATGTCCCCGGTTCCTGGTACAGAGCCTGGCATCCAGGGAGATGCTCAAGAAATGAGTATGGAATGAACGAAGGCCACAAGGTCCATTCCTTCTCTCTCACTGCCCCCAGGCAGGGCTGGCTCCTGGTGTGTGCACAGATTTCCCCTCTGTTCTTCTGCTCACTGCCTATGGCTGCAGGGATCCTCATCCTCAGGGGTCTGCCCAAGTGCCAGCCCCTCCCCAAATCCTTCCCTGATGGCCTCTCCCCCTGCCTGGGCCTTTCCTTCTAGAAGACCTTGTCACACACTGTCTTGGTTAGCATCAGATGTGTACACGTGGTTCCCCCAACGAGCAGGGGGTCTCCCCAGGGGCCCCAGGGATGGGGGCCTGCTCAAGATATACATCTTTACCAGGAGAAATCCATCGTTGCTTTTATCCTGCTCTCAAAGCCGAGGAATGCTGCCCTGGATTGCTTGCAGGTTGGCGGACTCCTGGTGCCAAGAGGAAATCCTAGTCCCTTCTGGTACCTCAGTCGCATTTGACAAATGCGTGTTGGTTTTAGTTCAATTTGATTTCCTCATTCAATTTTCTAACCAGCCCTGAGCCCAGGGTCAGGAGACCAGGCTAGTCCTGACCAGCACATGACGCACTGCCCGACCAGCTTGAGGAATGTTCTCATCGCTCCTGGGGCGGGCTCCTGCCCTTGGCCGGACGCCGGGCTCCTTGAGGGCAGGGCTCGCTCTGCACCTCGTGAGATCCAGCACGGGACCCAGCCCAGAGGAGGCTCTGGAAAGATGTGCCCATGTCACCACCTACCATGGGGCAACTATTACCACCAGCTGGCTTGGCAGGACTGCCTCTGAGCATGAACGGGGCGCAGGACTTCCCAGCCCTGGGAAAATGTAGCGTGCTCTGCACATAGTTTGACCGTTAGGAAATTGGGCTGGGACTCGGACAGCTTGCTGTATTCAAGCGGGCATGGCGTTTGTTGTCCAGATGCCGCTCAGGAAAAGCTGAGCGGGAGGTGCGTCCGCGCATCTGCCTGCTGCGTGGGGTGCACGCGCCCCCTCCCCTCCAGCTAGCCGTTTCTGACTCAGAGCCCCTCGGATCCACACTCTCTCACGCGGCAGCTGCTCGGTGCGGGGAGAGAGCACCAGAGGAGTATTTCTCTCACGGAGAGCACGTCAGCAGCCACGCGGCCATGCTGTGATGGGGTTTCTGTAGCTGGAAACTAGGAACAAGGAACCCTGCCCTCTGCCTCTCATAGAGGAGTTAGCGGATCACTCTCCCTCCCCGCCCAGACACCTGAGACACCTGCCTGATCAGAGCACGCCCACAGCCCACGAGGGTTGGTGCTGAAACCGACACATCCAGGCTTTCCCCACAGAGACCTCCCTGCACGCGGCACTCCCCGGCGGGGCTATATGCAAAGAGCTTATAAGGTGTTTTCTCTGGTGTTGATCCCGCTGTCCCTCGGGGACTCCTGTGAGGTGCAGCCCTGGCCTGTGAATCAGAACAGCTCCCTGCAAGTTGAAGACCTTGACTTCCCTCTCCCAACCACAGGAAACAGGAGGCAGAGAGACTCCAAGGACGGGAGAAAGGGGGACAGAGACAGCTCCGCAAGGGGGGGGACAGGAGCCTGAGTGTGTGGGAGGCTGGCTGTGCACGGTCCCTACCTCCACCACGTGAGAGGAGAAGCCGGTCTGCGACATCTCCAGCCCGAAGGACGTTTCGTTCTTGTTGGTGCCTAAGTCAGGGACAGAGAGAGGTCAGTGCCGCGCCTGCTGACTCAGTGCCCACACAGCTGCAGCTTCAGCCCAGCTTCGAGGGAGCACCCAGGGAGGTGGGAAGGGGGCTGAGGCCAAGCCCCCCTTGTCTGCCCCAGCGCAGGCACCTGCAAGGCAGGCGTGAGCACTTCCAGGGTTGTGCGGGGTTTTTAGTGGCCCACTCCCTGCTGGAAAGCGCTCGCTCGGGACAACATCTTACGGCACGTCTACCGCAAGACTGTCCAAATCGGGGAAAGATCGAGAGGAGCGCATGGAAAGAAAGCGTGTTGGGCAAAAAATGGAATTTCCTACTTTGCTCATTCTGCTCATTCTCCATGGCTGGTTCCAGATGCCCCTGGATGCCTCCCAGACCTCAGGGAGGCCCTCCGGAGGAGAGGCCACCCCGAATTTTTGCACAAGAAACCTCGGGCCTGCTGAAAGCCCCGCCCCCAGAGGGCCCTTCCAACCCTGTCATCGGAGCCAATGCTCTTGTCACCCAAGGGGACCATTTTGAGGGGAAATACACTGACTTGGAAGTTTAAGTTCTAGTGTGAGTGTCCACACGCAGGTTCATGCTTTCTGTCTATCCTCGTTCGGGAGGACAGTATTTTGTCTCCCGGCGTGTGCCTATAGCTGGTCGTTTCCGTGCTCTGCAGACTGCTCGGGCCTTGGGACGCTGCTTTCTACCTTTGACCTTCCTCCTCTATGGCAAACCCCGTGTGGAAAGGGCCTGCTGTCCCAGCATATGGTGCAAATAGATGGCCAGTCACCACTCGAGTTTAAGTCGCAGGGAGGCATCTGAAAGGCCTGCAGAAAGTGCTGTGGTAGCCTGGCCGGTGTGGCTCAGTGGTTGAACATCGACCTATAAACCAGGAGGTCACGGCTTGATTCTCAGTCAGGGCACCTGCCTGAGTTGCAGGCCCCATCCCCAGTATGGGGCGTGCAAGAGGCAGCTGATCCATGATTCTCTCTCATCATTGATGTTTTTACCTCTCTCTTCCTTTCCCTTCCTCTCTGAAATCAATAAAAATACATTAAAAACAAGGAAAGAAAGTGCTGTGGCGGACTGGGAGGCGGGGTCAAACTAAGGTTGCCAGAGAAAATACAGGACACTCAGCCATTGAATTTCAGACAACCAACGAATCATTTTTTTTTAGTATAAACCTGCCACAAACACTTATTTTATATTTGTGGAATCTGGCAACTCTCAGTCAAGCCCCAGCCCCTTCTCAAGCTGTGGTGCTTTGGCGAGTCACTCAGCTCCTCTGAGCTCAGCTTCCTCAGAGGAGCAGACCGGGTCCAGGAGGAGGCCCAGCAGTCTCCTCCCCAGGCCGTTTGGGAAGCACGGCCTCTGTCCAGCACAGTCACAGCCCGTGTTGGCAGTCACCGAGAAGGGAGGACCCTTTCCCTCTGTGGGGGTGGGCTTCCCTCTGGAGCCGGGACCCTCTCTGTGGGAATGGCTCACCTTCCAAGCTGAAGATCCTGTCCCCCAGGGCGTCCACGATGTCCTTCAGGGCCGCCTCGTCCGTCACGTTGAAGAAGTGCTTGTCGTCGGGGTCGCTGGCGATGTATTTGATTTCATTTAGGAAAGTTTCTGGGTTGATCCCCCTGCGGTTGTAGTAGCCCAGGACCTGCCAGGGAACAAGGCAGGGCGACAAACCAGGTCATAGCTCCGGCTTCCCGCACACCGGGCCCCGGCCTGGGCCCCAGGGAGGGCCCGAGTCGTCCTCCAAATCCCACTTACATTTGAAATGTCATGTATTCATTTTTGTAACCTTTATTGTTGAGAGAATTACAGATATGCTCCCTCTCCCCCCCTCATGACCCCTCTCCACCCAGGCCTTCTCCACCCTATTGTCCGTCTAGAAGGGCCAGAGGCAGCCCTGTTCGAAGACAGGGCTCTGGGGTTTGGGAGGCCAAGGGTCTCTAGTTTCCTGAGGTTTCAGCCCCCCAGGAAGCTCTCCATGGCTACGTGGACGGGCCCAGGCAGCGCGGAAGGAAGATGCACATCTTGCTCTTTAGAAGGTGAGCAAGAAGAGACGTATCTGAGGGCCCGGACAGCTTGCTCACTGCCCAGAACGTGTCCCCTTGGGGTCCCCAGGGGTTTGGTGGTGAAGCCTCTGTCAGCCAGCTGGCAGCCTGTGGGCAGGGGCAGGGGCAGGGGCAGGGGCAGGACTCACGGCCACAGCGTATCTGGTCACGTTGTCCCTCTCGCTTTGCTGGATCACCTTCTCCAGGTCCGGGCTGTCGTGGGACTCCCCATCCGTGATGACAATCATCACCTTCTTGGCCCCTTTCCGTCCTCCCTTCTGGAAAGCTTCTGAACTGAAACCCGAGCACAGGGCGGGGTGGGGTGGGGGGCAGTTGGAGGTCACAAGAGGGACACTGGGATGGAGCCGCCCCTGGTGGTCCCCCAGAGGGGCAGCCACAGAAACCAGGGCCAACTCCCACCCCCTCCTTATCTCCAGCAACCCAGAAGGTTCGAGACCCAGAACCACAGAATAAGCAGGGTTGAGATGCCCAGGCCACTGCTTGTCTTTAAAAAGTGACTTTAAGAAGCCGCTGTCTGGTACTGACCATGCTGTTTTGGGCAAGCAGATGGGGTGGACTTGGGAGGGGAGCTCAGGGTCGGACGGAGACCTTTCGAGGCCCTAAGTTGGTGGTTCAAAACCCCGGCTGCACGTCAGAGTCACCTGGGGAGTTAACACCTAAGGGCGGCCCAAGCCCTCCCCAGACTCCAAGGTCGGAACCTCTGGGCGGGGCCCGGGCGGCACTCTTTCCAGAGCTCTCCCGCACACCAGCATTGAGAGCCACTCAGCCAGTCCCGCACCGGTGCGTCTGAGCAACTTAACGCCCAAACAGCTCTGATCCACAACACCCCTGCAATGAAGCCTGAGGAGGTTCTCATTTCTCCCGGGAGGACAACTTTGATTCTATTTTGGGAACGATTAAACATCAAATTCTACGGCAAATGTTCCTTCTTCTCGCTTTTTATTTTGTTTTCAGTGCTGGGAGCAGGCGCGTGGCCAGCCAGCTGGGCAATCCAGCCAGGGCTGGGTGGGGGCGGGGGCTGGCACACCTACCCCTCAGTGCCGCGGAAAGACTCCTGCAGCTGGAAACCGGCTATGAAGCACGGAAAATTGGCTCCCGAGCCATCACGGGCTCTCCGAGCCTCTGTGGCCAGCCCTCCTGTAGACCGTGAGGTTCTGAGAAGGGCAGACAGGGCCTGGCCCGAGAGGCTGGCCCAGCAGGCCGAATTTGCCAATAAGGATCTAAAAATAAACGTTATTCTGCAATGATTCCTTGCGGATCTGACCCACAGGTTCAAGCTCTGCAATGCTCGGTGAAAGCCGGTCTCCGGCTACAGTTACCAGGGGTATCTCTTGCTGCATAGCAAGCGGATGAGCTGATGTGCGTGATTTAGATGTGGAGGTATTCACAAAGGTGGACACATTAGGCTAGAGCAGTGGTCGGCAAACTCATTCGTCAACAGAGCCAAATATTAACAGTACGATTGGAATTTCTTTTGAGAGCCAAATTTTTTAAACTTCAACTTCTTCTAATGCCACCTCTTCAAAATAGACTCGTCCGGGCCATGGTATTTTGTGGAAGAGCCACACTCAAGGGGCCAAAGAGCCGCAGTTTGCTGACCACGGGGCTAGAGCATCCTCAAGCAGCCAGCTAAGAGAAACAGACCATCTGCCATCCTCTTAGAAACTCGATGATATTCTGAATATACTGACCAAAAAAATCCTCTAATGTTAGTCTGAGCTGGGAACTAAAGGGGCAGAGGCACACTCTGCATGACAGGCTGATTTTGGGCTTAAGTCCGACCCATTAGAGTAGGGGTGTCGAACTCAATCAGAGAAGGGGCCAAAATCTAAAATCCAGCCTAAATCGCGGGCCGAATGGTTTACTGAACAGTCATAAACTGTCATTGTGATGGAAACGCAGCGGAGTGCAGTGATGACAGCGCGGTGCGGGCCACATTGCAAGGCCTGGCGGGACGGATTTGGCCCGAGGGCCTTGTGTTTGACACATGTGCATTAGAGGGACAACTTTGCTAACCCCTTAAAGGAGATTCTAGGTGCTTCCAGGACATCATCAGAGGGCCAGGCTCAGAAACAAAACTCCTCACAAATATGCATAGCAAGGAAAAAGCCAGGAACAATTTCAGGATCACGTTTCCATATGGTGGCATCGTGTGAGTATCTGCGTGGATCTGCAATAAGGTGAAGGCTGGCATGAATCATTAGATTTAAAGCTGGGATTTGTATTGTGCAAAAGACTTGGCTTTGCGCCTTTGTAAATCAGATGACAAGTTCCTGGAAAGCAGTGAGAGCGTTAAACTCACAACAGGTTCCACCAACCCCGAAGCCAGAGGGACCCCGTGGAAAAGTAGGTCACCTCATGCCTCCTTCCTGCTCAGAACCTGCAATGGCTCCCGTTACCCTCAGCACCTGACACTGGCTCACCAGAGCCTTTAGGGTCTGATCCCGTTATTTCTCTGAGCTACCTCGCTTCTGCTCTCCCCTCTCTACCCACACTGGGCTGTGGTCAGAGCATGACTCCCATGTCAATGTTCCTCCACAGCCTCCCTCCTCTGTCCTATCAGGGCAGAATGATTTTGTGGAAAGTCTTCTCTCCACCTGTCCCTGCTGGAATCCTGGAGTCCTCCCAGGCAGGCCAAGTGCCACCCATTTTGGCATTCCTCCCTGGCCCCTCCCTCTCTCATCCTCACTGAGTTAGGCTGACAAGAGCTAGAGGCTCTCAAGTCTCTGGCTTGGCTCTTTGTACGTCAGTAGGTTCAGAGCAAAAATGCACCATGAATAAACGGGTGAGGAGAGAAAACCTTTTACCCTCAGAGGCACTGGCTGTAATAGGGGGCCCAAACTTGGCAGGCCGGGAAGATCAGATTTCACACGGCACTGGGAGTGCCCATTGCACACCCCAGTGGTTGCATGAGTCACGAATGGTTCAAACTACCTGGTGAGTCACACACTTCCAATCGCCCTGCGGTTGGTGGGCTGGGAAAGGAGAGCAGAACAGTGGGGCTCACACTGAGCAAGCGATAGCGCACAGGCTGCCTCTCCCTGGTGTCTCCCCCTCCCCCCTGCACTTCACAATTCCCTGCTGGGGTCTCAGGGGCTCACCCCAATGATGACAAAACAGCAAAATGGCCTGTAACTCGTGAGAAGGAGCAAGAGCCACGTTCACATGGAGAGATGCTCATTTAGGGAAAAAGCTTGAGCCAGTTTCAGCAGCAAAGAAATATGTTAGTGGAGCAGTAACTTAATCTTAGAGGGTTGTAAGGTTGGAAAACAACCCTTTTGACCACATGAAGTCATGTTATCCTATATAGCTCTAACTGCAGAATTCTGGCAAACACATCCGCTAGCCCTTACAAGAGGTGGGATTCCAAGGAACTGGGACTGTGGTTTCAATGAACATAGCAGAACCCGTGTTCGTAGGTGTGAAATTGACAATCAAAATCTGAATACCTGGGGTACAGTCCTCTTAGGAGGTTAGGCACAAGCTTATAAGATCTTGGAGGTTTGACTTTAAAATCACTCCCCGATTTCAGTGCGGGGTGGGGGTTGGGGGGCGGCGGCGGAGGGGTGAGCACAATGTTCTGAGTGATGTCGGCATCACTGGAGTAAAGACGTAGCCGCTGTGTGGACAGGGACAGAGGCAGCATCCACCGTCATGAGGAGTGGGTGCTGGTGTGATTTTGAAGGAACCAGCCTATTACTCTGCCCTCTCAGATGTTTGACTTAGCTATGCTCTCCACACTCCACTGATGACAAACCCGCCACAGGAAGCTTCTCCCCTTACAGTGCCACACACGTTTCATGGGGTCCCTGTGGCAGAGCGGCTTTTCCAGAGTTGGCTGCAGCAATATTTCCCATCGCGAATGCTCTCCTGCCCTGGGACCTTGCCATCCTCCAGCAGGAGGCAGCATCACATTCTCCTCCCTGTGAATCTGGGCTGGCTTTGGTGACTTGCTCACTCAAAGTTAGGTTCTGGGACGTCTGCAGCGCGGTCCCGGGCAGTCTCAGAGTTCTCATGTGGGTCTCTGGGAAAACTCACTCTTGAGTTGCTGTCTCTCAGAGCCCAGCCGCCATATTATGAGAAAACCAAGCCCTATGGCCAGGTGTGGGTGCTCAGGTCGCCTGTCCCAGCTGAGGTCCCAGCCCACAGCCAGCATCAGCTGCCAGTCACACGTGTGCCATTTTGGACGTCCAGTCCGCTTGAACCTTCAGATGACAACAGCCCCAGCTGACGCATGAGAAAAATCCAAGAGAGAACTGACAGGCTGAGCCCAGGCAATCCCAGAACTTTGAGGAATTAATAAATGATTATCTCAAGGAACTAAATTTTTGTGGAGATTTGTCACACAGCAATATATAACCGGAATGATATCTGAGATTTAAAACAATTAAAAATTTTTTTCCTTTTTTTTTGTTTGTTTACCGAGCAAATTCTATGCCAAATGCCGTCCGGGTCTCTGTTCCTCCCCGCTGCTCAATGTGGCTGGCAGCCTCCACCACGTCTCTGACGGACCTGTAGTCATTGAGGTGGAACTCATGCACGGCGTCTTCTCCGTACTGAACAACGCCCACCTGCAAGGCAGAGGAGAGGGCGTTGGGACCCCTGGGACCCCTTAGACCGCGGGTGGTGAGGCTCTGGAGGCATCTGCCTGCCTGGGGCTCCTCAGGACCGAGGAGGCTGGGGGCCTCCCCAAACCAAGGAGAAGCGGTTCTGAAGGTTCTGGGAACGAACGGAAGGCTTGGCGGGACAGTGAGAGGCGCCTTTCGTGGGAGGAGACTGCGGTTTAAAGAAAAGCTCAAAAGTTAAGTCCCGCTTACAAAGACAAAAGTTGAGAACAGAATGGAAATCTAAAATATTAGGAATAGCATGGGTGGAGGCCATCACATTGTCACCACCCAACTCCAGAACTAAGGTTCCTTAAAACTTGGAAGAGGAAGGGTTCTATCCCCAAGGCTGATAAAATATTGACAACATTAATAACTTCAAAATAAACCGGAGGACCTGTAGTAGCGTTAGAATGGCAAAACGTTACTGTTGGGCGGGCCTAGAGTTTGTTTGGTACAAGTGCATTTCTTTTTCTTTTTTTAAGAATTAAAAAAAATATATATATTATTGATTTTTTACAGAGAGGAAGGGAGAGAGATAGAGAGCTAGAAACGTCGATGAGAGAGAAACATCGACCAGCTGCCTCTTGCAAACCCCCGACTGGGGATGTGCCCGCAACCCAGGTACATGTCCTTGACCGGAATCGAACCTGGGACCTTTCAGCCCACAGACCTACGCTCTATCCACTGAGCCAAACCGGTTTCGGCAGTACACGTGCATTTCTAATGCTGGGTTCACCCACGACACCCTAAGAGGTCTTCCAGCCCAAGCCCAAAGTGGTTAGAGCCCCAGCCCACACAGCAAAGGGTCCCGGGTTCTACTCCTGGGCAAGGGCATGAACCTGGGGTGCAGGTTTGATCCTCAGCCCTTGGTCAAGCATGTGCGGGAGGCACCCAATTGATGTGTCTCTCTCAGGTTGATTTCTTTTCCTCTTGCTTTGCTCCCTCTTTCCCTTCCATTCTCTCTCTAAAAAGAAAAGAATGGAATGTGAGGATTAACAAAAAAAAAGAAAAAGAAAAAGAAAAAAAAGCAAGAAAGAAAGAAGAAAAGATTGTCGAGTGCTGGGTAACTCATTACTTCCTAAGAAAGCCCACTCCCTCAACAGCTCTAATCATTACAAAATAACTCCTTAGATGGGTTTGAACGCTGCCACCTGGGACCTTCTATCCATTCGTCTTCGTCTGGCCTGCCCAAACCCCGTGGAACCAATCTACCCCCCGGAGCCGGCAGTGCTTCAGTGCGTGCCGGCAGCGGTGGCCTCCTTCCTAGCCTTTTCTCCGAGGCCCAGGTGCCTGGCTCCCCCTGTGCCTCATGCAGCAGGGCTCTGGTGCTGCTCCACTTTCCTGCCTTCCTCCTCACTCAGGAGCTGGTCAAACTCTTTCCTAATGGCTGCTGACGTCCCAGTGTTTGACCTGGGAAGTAAGGTCTCCTCCAAACTGGATGGCCCAGCAGAGTCGGGGATCCCGGGCTGCCAGGCCTGTGCTGGCCCTTTCCCCTACACCTTCTGAGCTCATGCAAAGACGGCCCCCCCGCCCCCCCCCCCCCCCCACACACACACACACACACACTCCAAGGCAGCATCTGCCACGGGTTTGGGAGGCCCTGTTGGGAAGAGGAAAGAGCCCGAGTCGCTCACCTGGATCTGCCCGGGGCCGATGTAAAACTTCTTCAGGATGTTGATGAGGAAGTGCTGGACCTCCACCCAGGGGTAGATGCTGTTGGAGCCGTCCAGGACGATGACGATGTCCATGTAGGTCTGGCACCCTGGGAAACCGGGGACAGTCTCAGCTACGCGGGAGCCAGTGTCTGCAGGTCTCTGGTTCTCCAGAGGCTTGTCCAAAGGACAATTACGTGTAATCCCCTGGGCCGGGGAGCTGTCCTGGGCAGGGCATGGTGAAGGGCCAGCCCAGGAACCCTCAGAGCAGGCTGTTTGAACAAAGCGTACGTACACCCGGCTGCCCTGCTCCTTGGGAACTCTGCTCACTGGGGGTGACCACCGTCAGCGAGTCAGTGTTTGTGGAAGCCAACGCTGTCCAAAGCAGGACCTGGGTATCATTTGTTTTGCCATAACACGCAGGCTGGTGGTTACCACTTTCAGCCCCAGTGAATGGGTTTCACTGTTTTGGAGGGTGGCATGGGGTAATGGTTAGGAGTGTGGAATCTGTTTGACTCCTGGCTTTGACCTTGGGCAAGTCACTTGACATCTTGGCAACAGTTTTTTCTTCTGAAAAATAGGCATAGTGATAGCAGTGAATTGCCTGGAGGAATCAGCGTGATGATGGTCCAAAAGGGCTGAGCACCAATAAGTGCCTCAGAAATCTTAGCTGATATTATTTTTCTTTAAAAGCAAACCACTTTTGGCCCTAGCCAGTTTGGCTCAGTGAATAGAGCGTCGGCTTGTCAATCGAAGGGTCCCAGGTTCTATTCTAGTCAAGGGCTTATACTTAGGTTGCAAGATTCTTCCCCATCCGGGCCTTGGTGTGTGCAGGAGGCAACCAATCAATGTGTTTCTCTCACATCGATGTTTCTCTCTTTCCCTCTCTCTAAAAACAAACAAACAAACAAACAAACAAATAAACAAAAAAAAAAACAGTGGAAAAGTATGCTTGGGTGAGGATTAAAAAAAAAGAAAAGAAAAGAAAAAGCAAACTACTTTGTTAATGTGGCAATAATGTCATGGGTCAAGCTCTCATGCCTGTATCTCCGCTCTGAGCATAAAGGTTTCTTCATATTTTTGTAATATTAATGCCAAATTAAAATGAGTGATAGAAACCAACAAAAATAACCTAGTGAAACGTTGGTTATATAAATAAATGTAAAAAACCTCTTTTAAAATCTAAGCAATTTATTTGCTTGCAAATGGTTACTTTGAAATAAGACATAATCTGATACAACATGTAATGTACTATATATGTTATATCGTATTGAAACATTGGGCATCTGCTTATTTTTATTGGAGACTTTTCACACTGTATAAACTCCCCATTACAGCAATGTGTGTGGCAGGAGCCTTGGGTGAAACAGCACCCTGGGGTGAGGGAGGGTGGCAGTGTTCCCTGTGCATATCTCACCCTCTCCAGAGTCCCCCTGATGCTGCTGCCTCGTCCCTCCCACAAGCACCATCTTCCCACCCCTGACTGGGCCCCGTTGGGTGAAACAGCACCCTGGGGTGAGGGAGGCTGCAGTGGCCAGAGGCACTAATGCCCTCACCCGCAGTAAAACAGCAGCTGTTTGGACGATGCTATTGAGCCCAGAGGAAACAGTGAGGCTTGGAGCCAAGCAGTCTGGGCTCGCAGGAGGCAAAGTCTGAGCTTCATTTCCCAGATTTCCGGGTACGGAGTGAGTGTGAGGTTCAGTGTTCCACGAGGCTCTGGGCAAACTGGGCAGAGCTTCCTAAGGTCCAGAGACACTGGCTTGACAGGACTATTACCGGGGATATTTCTGGTCTCCTTGGTCTTCCACCTACAGGGCAACCGAATGGCATAAACACCAAAGGGCACCATTCACACTGTAGTCTGAGTGAATGTGTGCCTAGAACTGTGGGGTGCGTAGCTTGCCCGCTGTGCACAGTGGCCCGGCAACTTCTTCCTCACTCAGGCTGGGTTTGCAAGGAGCCTCCCTGGCCACCAGGATTGCCTCCATCACCTTAGACATCTGCCCTCTACCATCACTCTGTTGGGGGCGGGGGGGGCAAGACTATGACCCCACAGAGGCCCAGAGAGGTCAAGTGAATTGTCCCTGGTCCCCCACAGAGCTGGAGCAGGTTGGAGCTAGGGTCTGAGTGCTGCTTTGTAACTGTGAGAGAGCAGTGGTCAGAGCCTTGTGCCACCCAGGGGCTGCCGGCTGCTCAGCCGGAGTCTGCAGAGGTGAAGCCACTTACTTTGGAGAGCTGGGGCCACGGTCTTGGAGAACCTGAAGTTGGAGTTGACTCTTGAACACATCCCTGTGGTGTAGTAGGAGCTTCCACACTCATGAGACCAGAGGGGGCTGCAGGCCTGGAAGCAGAGCACAGACTCCAATCACTGGGGGCCTTCAGGGTGGGTCCAGCCTAGTTCAAAGCTCCATGGCTCAAAAGGATCTCCTCTCAAGTGTTGGTATTCCCAGGCTCTAGAGCAGTGGTTCTCAGCCTTCCTAATGCCGCGACCCTTTAATACAGTTTCTCATGTTGTGGTGACCCCAACCATAAAATTATTTTCGTTGCTACTTCATAACTGTAATTTGCTACTGTTATGAATCGTAATGTAAATATCTGTGTTTTACGATGGTCTTAGGTGACCCTGCTAGCGGTTCTCAAGGTGACCCTGCTAGCGGTTCTCAACCTGTGGGTCGCCACCCCTTTCACAGGGGTTGCCTAAGACCATCGGAAAACACAGATATTTACATTACGATTCATAACAGTAGCAAATTACAGTTATGAAGTGGCAACGAAAATAATTTTATGGTTGGTGGTCACCACAACATGAGAAACTGTATTAAAGGGTTGTGGCATCAGGAAGGTTGAGAACCACTGCTCTAGGAGGTCTTCTGAGTTTACCTGAACTCTGCTGCCAGTTCCCTTGGTTTCAGGTGGAACAGAGAAAAACGAATCTTAGAGTGCCCTTCTCCTGTTTGCAAGGGTCTCCTTCCCACCATCTAGGGTTGTTTCTCTTCTACCTGCCCACCCCCCTACCACACAGGATCTGGGCAAATCTTTTCACCCGTGGGAATGGACTCTCTGAACAGGTCACCTGGAGGTCCTTACTGGGCCAACTTCCAGGGCTTTGTCCTGAGAACATGCCCATGGTTCATATTAGGGGAGGAAAACAGAATGTCTCTGCTTTTTCTCTGAAATTTGCTGCTAAAAACATCGATCTCAACACCTCATTTAAAGACTGAGTGGTGAGTTCCTCTCAGGGTCAGACATTAAAGATGAAAACCCAGCTCCCCATCTCAACTTTTCTCCTGCTGCTGGGAAACCCAGGGCTAAATTGTATGCCGCAATTTCCTTTGGTTTGGAGGAATAATTATTCTACTTCCAATCGCTTCATTTAATTAGCTTTCTATTTTTACTCAGATTTTAAAGGCTTGGTTTTATTGGTAGTCTTTGTTGAAACTGCTATAAGTTATTTTTCAAAGTAGGGGGAGAATAATGGGAGGTGAATGATGGGTGATGAATGGATGGATGGATGGGTGGATGATAGAAGATGCATGCTAGATGATGAATGATGCATGAAGAATGATGGATGATACTGTGAAGAATGATGGATGGCTCAATAGATGGATGATGATGGATGTAGGAAGGGATGGATGAAAGGATGGAGGATGAGGGGGTGGATACATCTACAGATGGATGAGTGGATGGATGGATGGATAGATAAATGGTGAGATTGGTTGGGGAAGGACTGATGAATGGAAGGATGAATAGATGAACTAATAATGAGTTAACAAACGTTGCTATTTATATGCCAAGGACTTAGCCTACCCACAGAGGCCCCAGAGGGCATCAATGAGCACCTCAGGACTTTCACCAGCTGAGCCATTACGCTCTCCTCAAGTCCCTGAGCACCCAAGTTATCTTGTTGCTCTAGTGTCTGGTGCTTCAGACCCCAGACATCTTATCTGTCAACCGAAATGAACCGATGAACAAGAACTAAGTGACACAAGCCCTCCCATCTTACAGTGAGTGACGCATTTTACTGGGCTTTCTGAGGTAATTTTTTTCTAAAATCCTCTTTTGCAGAGTTTCCAGGAATAAGTCCCAGAGGATCCTGTGCTGAACCCCCAGCTTCACCCAAAGTCATGGTGATTCATGGGAATGTGGTGGCCAGGAGCAGGCAGCTCCCCTCTCTTATGCCACCGGCGTGCAAAGCCTGTGTCTGCTCACCTGGGCAGGGTGCTGAGACCTCCACGTATGACCTGCTGCTGCCTTCCTGCCCCAGCATCCTGTTCACATCACTCACTTGCTTACTGTTGTTCCCTCGAACCAGAATGTGAACTGCAGGGGGCAGGAGCTCTGCTGACCGCTGAGTCCCAGGGCCTGCCATGAGCTCAGTGTATTGAGAGTGCTCAAGATAATTGTTAAAATGAATGGATATCCTTATCACCTCAGCCCAAGTACCCACGCCTCTTTCTTCATTGCTAAGGCCTGTTTATTCTTTAAAAGAACACAGGAACCTCCCCTGGAAAGCCTTCCCTCTAGTCCTGAGCAGTCCAGGTGGCCCATCACTCAGTAGCCTTTCTCTGGTTGTAGTAAATCTGTGTTCATTCATTTTTTGCTTCCCTTCCAAGTCTCTTAGGGTGTGTGGTGTGTCCTATTCCTTTGATCAAACCTGGAGCAAGGTTCGGCCTCTGTCTTGGACAGAGGGCCTTTATTTATTTTTGTTCCTTTTCAGGCTTTTAGTCTCTCACCCTCAGGGCACATGGGTAAAAAGGATCAACTCTTTTTCTTGTCTGGACTGCCCCTCTTCCACAAAAATTTAGGGCACAGCAGCCAGAGTGGCCCAGGCAGGAACCTAGCAGAGTGGTGTGTGTGGGCAGCAGCCTGGTGGATAGAGTGAGAGTGCGTGTGAGGACACAGTCACCCCATGTCTCTCCTGGTCCCAAGAGGAGGTTCCATGGGGCAGGAGGGTCCATGGGGCAGGAAGGTCGGGGCTTGGAGAGAGGGAGGGGCAGGTGGCTCTTACCAAGAAGCTGTTGTCCTTGGGGTTGGTGGCTAGGCTCAGACCAAGACGCATGTTGTCCTTCCGCTCGGACACGTTCGATAGGGTGACTCTTCCTGAGGTGGGAGGGAGAAGCTCAGCCTGCAGCTCCCCTTTCCTCTCCCCCCCATCACCCAGGGTCTGCTGTGGCCTCTGACCACTGGAGTTGCCTGTGGCAAGGCTGGTGCCAAGTGAGTCCTCCCCACTTTTCTCTGCATGTTGATGAAGACCATCCTGGTTTACTAAGGCCTTGCTCAGACATGATCTAATCATTTCCTCTCAACTCCCTGTGAGATGAGGAAAATGAGTCTCAGAGAGGCCAAGGAACCTGCCTAAAGTCACACAGGAAGCACATGGCAGAACTTTCCATCTCCTAGTTTAGAGCTTTCCCTACTCCAGTGCCAGAAGCCAATTCCAGCATACCAGCAGGGCTGAATCATCTGGGAATGGCTAAAGGCATTTCCCCAAACCTGAAAAGGATACATAAATTGATTACTTGCTGTCAGACAGCTGGGGGCATCTCAGTCTACGTGTTATTGCTTCCTGTTGGCCAAACATCTGAAGGCAATTCCCCAATCTGATAATGGATTCTGTACAGAACCCTACTCTTTGATATGCATCTCTACCTTGCCTTAGGACAAAATGTGTTAATAAAAAGCAAGGGTTTCTGAGACAAGGAGAACTTGGTTTCTTTAGCCAAGCTTGTCTGGCCCCCAAAATGCCTTCCAAAATTATGTTTAATCTCTGGATTCTTATTTAATTTACGTGCAATGCCTCCTCCAGGTTCCTTAACCCTTTTAGATGCTCGATCAAGACCATCGGCATTACTCCAGCCCTTGGATGGACCCCAATCTTCCCCTTGTGTCCCATATGACACATACCATGGCACCCCACCTGGCTTTCCCTGAGAAGTGTCTCCTCCATATGTTTCTTCAAGTCCCCTGCCCTGAAACTTACCCACCCCTGGCTTGCTCTCTCAGGGCCCGCTTGCCTGATTCACTGATGATAATGGATCCTTTCTCATGGGTAGCAAATAGCCAATTATCAAGAGGCTTCTAGAGGTAAAGGTCTTGCCGAGAATGTCAAGGAGCAGGATTATCAGCCAAATGGATGTAGGGAAGGGGTGGTGGAAGATTAGAATTGCTAAATAAATTATGTCAGTTAAGGTTTTACTAGATCATCCTGTCAGGCCACTGAAGGAAAGGAAGTGAGCTTGAATTCCCCAGACATGTGTCAGGATATAAGTATACGTGTATGTGTGTGCACACATGCACACTTGTGAGTGCACACATGAGTATGGGCACAGGGAGGAAGCGTTTGGGGGAAAGCATGTTGGGCATCTCATTGAGCCCCAAGCCTCCTGCTATAAGGAGGATCTTGTGTCCCCCCTGCTAGGCAGGGGGTGATTTCTAGGGGCTTCCGGCCTCAGGAGCATGGCTTGCATACCCTGGAGGTATGGAGAGCTGGCCGGCCTTCTGGACACAGCCCTCGGGGCCTGGGTGGGCGTTCACAGAGATGAGCAGAGGCCAGGCCTGCAGCCGCTTGGCTGCGCCCGGCTGGAGTGGGCAGCTGTGTTTGTTGTTGTTTCCCTTTGGGCTCCCTCAGCTGGTAGTCAGGCTCCTTTTGAAATCCAGCCCCTGTTGGCTGTGCTGTGACTGGGATTGCTTTCTGTTTTATCCATCCAAAGGTACCAGAGAGAAAATAATAGTCATAACTGTATTTTAAAAAACCGTCTCTTAATCATTTACAAAGTATCATCCACAAGTGCCTTTCCCAGACTCCCTCCTGGTCCTGGGAGGCCCAGAAGTTACCATTCCCGTTTTACAGATAAAAAAATAAATAAATAAAAAAAAAATCAAAAAAAAAAATCAAGGTGCATAAAGGGTTAGTGATTTCTACAGAGGTGATTGCTGGTGAATGATAGAGTGGGGCTTTGGACCAGAATATTCAAGGTTCCATCCTGAGCTTCCCATCTGCTGGCAGGGCTGTGCTGGCCCTGGGGTGGCAGTGAGAGACCTAGAGAGGCAGCTCCTAGCCCCAACTTGGCCACATCCACCCTCAGCTGCTTGTCGAATTCTGCCCTCCACTTACTTAAGGGGCACGTCCCTCCCCGCAGTCTGCCCCCGTCTTTCTCCCGTGTCTCAGGAACCGAAGTCCTCAGTGGAGCCGTGCCTGCCGAAGGCAGATGGCCATGGCAGGGAAGGCCATCGTGTTGGAGGAAGACAGACTCAGGTTCGGGTCCTGTTTCTGCTGCTTCCGCTGCCTGTGGATTTGGGGCAGGCACTACCTCTGCTCTGTGACCAGGAGACCAAGGCCTATCTCAGTGCGTCTCCATGAAGTCCTGGGACACAGCCTCTCCTCTCACAGGGCCTGCCTTCCAGAATCCCAGCTCCTCATTAAAACCCCTAACTCTGCCCGGCCGGCGTGGCTCAGCTGGCTGAGCATCGACCTAAGAACCAGGAGGTCATGGTTAGATTCCTGGTCAGGGCCCATGCCCGGGTTGCAGGCTGGATTCCCAGTGTGGGTGGTGCCGAGGCAGTGGATCTATGATTCTCCCTCCTCATTGATGTTTCTATCTCTCTCTCCATCTCCTTTCCTCTCTGAAATCAATAATAAAAATATATTTTAAAAAACCCCCACAAAAACCAAAAAGTCCTCCTACCTTCATCCAGGAGTTGGGAAGAAAGCACCCGCGGAGGGTGTTCACACTGAGGGTGTTCACACTGAGGTGTGAATGCCTGACAAAATACTCAGCCTTCCCAGAGAGAGGAAGGCACATTCCTGGCTTGGCAAGGCTCAGAGCCTGGAAAGGCCAGTCAAAACCCAGAACTCAGGTTTCCCTGCCCTGCATTTTCCACTGTGGGCCACTGGCAGATGCCATGTGCTCTCCGAGGAGGGGAAGGAACACCCTGTGATGAGGCTTCCTGGCAGCACTGTGCTGCCCAGCTATGTCCCAGGCAGGAATGTTTTCAGGGTCCAGTGGTTTCTCCCTGCCACAGGGGCTCCTCCTCGGAGGGACACCGGGCCCAGGGGAAACTGGAGCAACAGCGGAAATGAAACGGTTCACGCATCTGTGTCCCCACCTGGACCAGGAGCTTCTCTCAAAGGCCGCATGGCCCAGCCCTGACCCCAGGGCCTGCACCTTCCATCAGCCCCCTTGCTCCCTCTTTGCACAGAGCCATTCTTTCCAACAGGGTGAGCTTATTCCCACCTCAGGGCCTTGCACTTGTCTTCCTCTGGCTGGGATGCTCTGGTTCCATTTCAGCCCCAGACCTCTGCTCCATGCTCTGCTCAGAGAGGCCGTCCTGACCACCTTGCTAAGGCACAGGCCTCTCTCTCTACCTCCCCCCACTCCCCCTGGTTTTTCACACACAGCAGTTCTCTCTACCCAGGCTGACCCTCACTTATTGTCTCCTCCTCGGAGTCTTGTTCTCAGCTGTGTCCCCAATAACTCGCACTGTGCTTAGCACACACTAGCTGTTCGTTAAAGTTCGGGGGACATACTAGACTGGAATGCATCCTAGGATCACTCCCATTTTACACACAAGCAAACGGAGGTTCAGAGAGGGGCTGTGAGCACCCTATGAGCACACGGTGACGACACTGCACAGATGGGAGGACACACCTAGCGTGGCCTGTTTTGGAAGCTGAGCCCTCAGAGTGGCGATGGCTGGGATCCGTGAGCTACCAGGCAGCCCTGACCCCCCCCCCCCCCCCCCCCCCCGGTCTGTTTCCTTCCGAAGCCGGGCCTCGGCTGTCCTGTCCCGGGGTTTGAACTTCCCACCCGTGGAGCTGACGCAGATATGAGCAGCAGGGGTGCCCGGCACTGCAGGCCACACTGAGATCCAGTTCTTGGGGCTTTCTCTTTGATGTGGGCCATTTCATCCATCTGCTTATGTCTTGGAGCTCCGCCATCTGCCCCACCTCCCTGAAAAGCCCACCCCACTGCTCTAGGGTGGGGGCTCCCCTTCTGGAGAGGGGGAAGCGGAGGATCCTGGCCCTGGGCAGCCAGTCCTTTGTTTCCCAAAGTGTGGTACGCGTACCCCCAGGGGTACGGGAAGAGTTGGGTGGGGGTACGCGTTGCACCGGAGTTTGGTGGGGATATGCACTGCACCGTGCTTAGAGGCGCCTAATTCTACGTTCTCATGAGTACGAGGGGTACTCAGCGTTACAAAAATTATAGAAGGGGTACACATATGTCAAAAGTTTGGGAAACACTGCCTAGGGCAATGGTCGGCAAACTCATTAGACAACAGAGCAAAATATCCACAGTACAATTGACATTTCTTTAGAGAGCCAAATTTTTTAAACTTAAACTTCTTCTAACGCCACTTCTTCAAAACAGACTCACCCAGGCCGTGGTATTTTGTAGAAGAGCCACACTCAAGGGGGCCAAAGAGCCCCATGTGGCTCGCGAGCTGCAGTCTGCCGACCACGGCTCTAGGCAAAGCCTGGAACCAGGGCTTCTCAGCCCAAATGGAACTTCCCTAAGCAAGTGGTAGCCTGGCCACTGTCTGACCTTTAGGACAGAGTGGAAGTGGTTTAGAGGACTGGTGTGTGTACTTTAGGGAATTGCCCCCCCCCCCCCCCCCCCCCCGATTTTACAAGGGCTGGGAAGGCCTGGAGGCGGCTCACAGCACCCCTATGGCTGAAAGCTCTTCAGGGGAACAAAGCCTGCATTTCAGAAGCGCGGGGTTAGGTCATGGCAGTTACTCTGCCTGGATTGAAACCAAGCCTTGCTGCTTGTTAGCTGGGGGACCCCAGGCAGGTCCCCTCACCTCCACATGCAATCATTTCCTCCTTTGTTTAATAGCTGGATTTTATAGGGGATTAAATGAGTCAACACGTTAAAAAGCGCTGAAACCAGTGCCAGACGAGGCGCGAACATCCTCTAAGACACATGTGTCAAACACAAGGCCCGCGGGCCAAATCCGTCCCGCCAGGCCTTGCAATGTGGCCCGCACCGCGCTGTCATCACTGCACTCCGCTGCATTTCCATCACAATGACAGTTTATGACTGTTCAGTAAACCATTCGGCCCGCGATTTAGGCTGGATTTTAGATTTTGGCCCCTTCTCTGATTGAGTTCGACACCCCTACTCTAAGATGTAGGAATGGGAGCTGTGGCTGTTGGCACTCCCAAATCAGAGAGGAGGCAGCGGGCGTTTTCCTCCTGCTGGGAAGGGGCAGGGGTGAGCCAGAAGGAGCAATGCCCTGGGACACTGGAGGCCTGAGCTTCATTCCCAACCTCATGTGACTGTGGGAAAGTTGCTTCCTCTCTCTGGCCTCAGCATCCTCATCTATAAAATGGGCACACGGACAGCGGCTGGGAGGAGCCAGTGCGATCCTGCGCTGTACGCCTGTCCCGCCCCACACAACGGTTGGCCTCCTTGTGGCCAGACCGGAGTCCCTCGTTACCCAGGTTGAGCTTTGTGCAGTTCCCGTGGGACACTGGGCACTTGTACACGTCTCCCGTCTTCTGCTGGCCGTTGGTTTCCAGCGGGGCGCCCACGACGAGCCTGGGGAGGAAGAGAAGACGCGTGAGGATGCTGGGGGCGGGGCTCCTTCCTGGGAAAGGCTGGGACCTGGGGGCAATGAGGAGGAGAAGGCGAGGTGTGGGTGGGGGGAACGTCTCTCTCGGGGAGGGACGCTGCGCTTTCAGTGGGAAGTCTCGGGGCCTGGGGCCCACTCCAGGCCCTGGCCAGGATGTGGAGATATGGAGGCGAAGACTACGTGGGCGAGAGGCAGTCCCTGGGAGAAGGGCAGGGCGGACATCATGGAGGAGGTGATGCTTGAGTTGGGCCTTAACCGTTGAAGATGAGTTTTTCAGATGGTGGGAGAGTGGCCATGGTGGTCCTTCAGGCAGAGGAATGGTTTATTTTATTTTATTTTATTTTATTTTATATTTACACAGTAAAAGTAACAAGCAAACTACTGAGACAAGAGGGCTCTAGTGCAAGGCAGAGTGGCCTGTGGGGTTGGGGGGCAGCTGTGGGGGCGGAGGTGGCCAGACCCCACGCCTGGGCACACGGGGGCTCTGCCGGGCAGGGCCCAGAGGAATGATTCTGGAGCCATAGAGCCTTCGCCACCTGTCACTACCTGCAGGACCTCGGTCCTCACCTGACCTGACAGACAGCCTTTCAGCCAGGGCCTCAGAGGCAGACATGCTGCTCAAGGTCATGATTGTCCCCTGAGCCACGAAGTCTTTGCTCAGGGTGGGCCAGGTGGCCAGCAGGGCTCAGCAGTGACCAGGGACAGCCAACCATCCTGGGCTTTAGCCTTGAGCCTGTGCTGTGGTGAGCTCATTTGGAAACGGGGTCTTTGCAGTTGTAGTGAAGGATTTCAAGATGAGGTCAGCCTGGGTTACCCACTGGGCCTGCAGGGAACCGCGTTGGAGGTTCACTATGGCTCCCGCAGGGAAGGCGTCTGGGATACGGCGAACGCTCTGTGTTAAACCCTCTGTGACTGTCTAACTCTGTGGCCTCAGGCTCGGCTGGCTACCCAGAACGCCGCCCCGAGATCAACGCCAGACCCCTGGACGGAGGTCAATGAATGCACAGAGTGCGGATGCCTGCCTGACGTTGTCTGTTAACTTAGAAACGCAGTGTTCTTCCTGGTGGTCTATGTGCCTGCCCCCATATGCTTTTACTACTAACACCCTATAAAAAAGAGACTCTGTCTGGGGCAGGGGTGGGTGTTCCCTGGCCCGCCACCCCTTTGCCCGTGTAGGTAAGCTTCTCCTAGGAAAGCTCTTACACATTGGAATAAGGCTGCGTGTCAGTTTTTCGGAATTGATGCTGAATTTAGACCCCAAATCCAGCAAGTGTCCTTATAAGAGACACGCGAAGAAGACTGAGGAGAGAGAGTCCTGTGAGGACGGGAGCAGAGCTAAGAGGGGTGCTGCCACAAGCCAACGAATGCCTGGGGCCCCAGGAAGCTGGAAGAGGCAAAGAAGGGTTCTCTTCCAGAACCTTCCGCGGAAGCACAGCCCTGCTGATCCCTTGCTTCAGATGCATGGCCTCCAGAACTGCGAGAGAATGCAGTTCTGTCTTTGTAAGCCATCTACTTGATGCCAGTCTGTCCTGCACCCATCGGAAGTAAATACACCTTGCTTACTTGCTTCTGGAAAATATCACGTGGCACCCCTTCCTGGCTGGCCCAAACCTGGCAGTGCCACCTCCCTTGAGGCCAGGGAGAATCCCACCTTCCCCCATGGCACCCCAAAATCCCCTCTCTGCCTCACCCCCAGCTGGAAACCCAGGGCTGATATAAAGCGAAACCCTGATGGCGGGCAGGGTTCCCTCAGGGACCACCTGCCGCTCTGCCAGCACGCCTGCCTCTGGCACATCTGGAACCCTCTAGGCTAGGGGTGTCGAACTCAATCAGAGAAGGGGCCAAAATCTAAAATCCAGCCTAAATCGCGGGCCGAATGGTTTACTGAACAGTCATAAACTGTCATTGTGATGGAAATGCAGCGGAGTGCAGTGATGACAGCGCAGTGCGGGCCACATTGCAAAGCCTGGCGGGACGGATTTGGCCCGCGGGCCTTGTGTTTGACACATGTGTTCTAGGCGCTGGGTGCCTGTCCAGCTCTCGGCCAGCAGCGGCCTCCTCTGCTCAGGCCCTCGTGATAACAGCCACCCGAGAAAGGAACCCTCCCAGGAGGCTGTGTGGCGGGGCAGGGGGTGCACAGCTCTCGTGGCCCGAGAGGCCTCCCAGGCCCTGTGGATGGAGCACAGCGGACCATGAGCTTTGGGCACAGATACGTGGGAGATGCTGGGAGCAAGATGGCCTTTCTGGAGCCCTGCCCTCCCAGCAGCTGCCCCCCATCTCGACCCCCCACGAGCAACTCGGTCCAAAGAAGCAGCAGTCGGTCATTTTCTGACTTAAGAGAGTTGAGGGGGGACAGGCCTGGAGGTTCAGGCCCTACAGGACTTTGGTGTCTTCTGGTGTCACACTCCCCCGGCTGCCTCCCTGCCTCCCCCCTTTCTGCGCTTCAGGAAAGAAAGTGAGGTCTGAAGTGGGAGTTAATAGAGCTCTGTTTGAAATTAAGTCTATGAAATAAGAGCTGAGGTTTCTCCCCTGGGGACCAGATAATGACGGATTCTAAATATATCACTCATTAAGCATGCCCATTTTGGACTGGCAGGAATTAATTGGGCTCATAAAATCTGTTTGTCTAGACAATGTAATTTTTGGCAGAGAGAGAGAGAGAGAGAGAGAGAGAGAGAGAGAGAGAGAGAGAGAGTGAGAGAGAGGAGAGAGAGAGAGAGAGAGAGGGGTATCAGTGTGCGCGGCTGAGGCGCCAAGCTTGCTTTGCTGGCTGCTCTGGGGTTCAAGGTCAACGGGACAGTTCAGGAGTCTCCCAGAGGAACGTGCCCTAGGGGAGTGCTGTCTGCCAGGAGCGCCTTCGAGGAACAGCTTGCAGGGTGCCTGGGGGGGGGGGGGGGGGAAGCGGCTCGGGAATCAGGCACAGCCGGGTCTGGATGAGAAAACCGTGGCCCTCTCCTAGAAGAGCCACCTCGTGTCTTAGAAAACACCCCGAGGCCGGGCCAGGCAGACTCCCCACATTCCTACCCATTTTACAGGCTGGGACTCTGAGGCCCCTGGCCTGCTCGGAGGGACCCCAACACAGGGCGAGGTGGGCTGAGAATCCCGGGGCTGGGTCTTCATCCTGATTGGGCCACCTCTTGCCCTGTGGCCTTGCATTGACTTTTCCAGACCTTGGTGTTCTTGGCTGGGAAATGGGGCTAGCAATTCCTGCACCCCCTCCCCCTCAGGGGCACCGGGGAAAGTCACCGATGTCAAGGGACACCCAGACACAGAAGGGGCTGGATCAGGGTGTGAGCTATGCACAAAGACTGCCGGCTTCCCGGGAGCCGTGTGTCCTGGTGACGGCCAACATGCGACATTCAGGCAGTAAATCTGCCAAGTCTCAGTGACCCCCAATTTGCTACAAGACCGAGAACAAGAGCCAGCCCTCACACCCATCTCCATCCTCCCGGAGCTGGTCTCTCCGGGTGCCCGTGGCACTACAGGAGGTGGCAGAACAGGGCGTGCCATCCCCTCGTTACAGAGGCAGACGCTGAGGCCCCACGGTTTGTGGCAGAGAGCTCTCCCGAGACAGCTGTCCCGGTGTCGCCGTGAAGGAAGGGCCTAGGTCAGCCCTCCTTGCCACTCGTGAGTGTTGGCATTACGTGTGCCTGTCGGGCTTGAGGTTTCGAGGATATGATTCAGTCTCGCTGCGAGGGGAGAACTGCCTGAGCACAGGGAAAATGTTGGCGTCATCACCGAGACCCGCCAGATTGCTCCAGGGGTCTGGCAGCCCCTGCTGCCTCCCGCGGCAGCAGCCTTATATAGCCATCTGCAGCCTCAGGGCCCGTGGTGCCTCACCGAGACTGGACACCCGACACCCGCTGGCGTGGGCACTGGCACGGCATGGCAAACCCCAAAGGTCGTGGTGAGCACTGGACCCTTTCCATGGGCCGTGGGCCGTGACTCACCGGCTGTGGGCTCCCGGCATTCCTCCCGTGGGGGCGCGGGGACCAGGGCTGCTGCGGAGGGCAGGATAGATGGCAGGCTCCAGCCAAAGCCCTGTAAGCCCCCTCCTTGCTGGCTGCCCTCTACTCAGGGCCTGGCCAAGGGAGGAGGCAGGACAGGGTCCCTCCGGGCCCTGGGTTCCTTGGCTTCCAGCAGGACACAGGCGAAGAGAAGGGGTCTCTGGCTTCCTACCTCACACCCTCTCCAAGGCCCCTTGGACACTCATCCTGACTTCTGCTTCTCCTGGGCTCCATCCTTCAAGGCAATCTTAGTCTCTCAACCTTTTAGGATGCCCACTCCGTAAGAAGAAAAGGTAACACGTGCCTCCAGTGTGTGTACAGTTTTATGTTAATTAAACCAGTGTATTTTAAACAACTATCCATCTGTATATTAAATATCCATCATCCTGTTTTTTTTCTCTCAAATAAAACATAAACCTAAGTAGAGCTTGAATCATTTTGTTTCTATACTCCTGTATCATGTCCTGCACATCCTCTGTGGCATGCACACCCTACCCCGGAGATCAGTCCTTTAAAGATCCATCACAAATTCCCACCTGCTCCAGGAAGCCCTCCAGGATTACCCCAATGTTTTCCACATAAACCAGCATCTCATCCCTGCTGCCTGCTGTGGTCAGTGAGTTAGTATCATCTTTCCTTAAGGCCAAGATGTTCTTGTGTGCCCTGCTGCATAGCATAGGGTGACCTGCAAGGCTCTCAAAAAGAGGTGCCCACTGGCTACTGTGACCCTCTGTCTCACTGTCAGCAGCAGCAGCTTCAGAGCTTTTGGCTTTGCCTCAGGACTAAGAGGGGCCTCCAGATTCAGATCCTGGAAAAAGGGTTGCTGAGAAATGGTGTATTTTTCACGCAGAGTTTCAGTGGAGTGACCCAACTTCCGTTTAAAGCAAACGTTGCTTGATTCCCTGGTTTCCACTTCCCTCTTCTCAAAAGTCCTCATTTCTGTATGGGATTCAGGGAGC